ATTAAAAAAAAGGTTAAATAAGTTGATGAATTGTACTACCGACAACAATGAGAAATGCTAAGCAGACTCTCTTAAAGTGGAACTCTCCATTGATTTTCCCCTCATGTTTTTGGTACAAAGTTTTATAATATTAGTACGAGAACTATGCAAAAACATAAAGTGACGAAGAGCACGCAAAAAATCCCATTTCTTGGGAGAGTCTCATTACCATTTCTGAACAACAATAGGCGGATCTTTCAGTTTCCAATGCCCTTAAAAGATACTGAAAACACTAAAATACTTCATAAGATAATGGCCAAACTTTTGGGTCCCAAACATAACCCCTTAAACCTTATGTTTATTTTACTATTTTAGTTTTGCCCAAGCCATTTCAACTAGGCAAAAGCCCCATCAAATTCCACCAAGGCCATCTCCAACCGATGGCTGGCCAGAGGGCTCGTTTTAGCCCTCTGGCCATCCAAGATTCTCCAAGATATTAATATTTTAATGAACAGTACATGGTCATATTTGCCTCCGTCTCCAACTGAGGACCAGAGAGCTCGTTTTAGCCATTTCACAAAAAACCATCTCCAACCGAGGGTCAAAGGGTCATATGGCCAAACATAATTTATTATTTAAAAACTACAACTTAAATTCAAATCCAACGGCTAAATGACAAATTTTGTGAAATAGAAGTTATAGGAAAAAAAAAGAATTTAAAAAAAATATGAAACAAATTTTGTGAAATAGAAGTTATAGGAAAAAAATGGAATTTAAAAAAAATATGAAACAAATTTTGTGAAATAGAAGTTATAGGAAAAAAATGGAATTTAAAAAAAATATGAAACAAATTTTGTGAAGTAGAAGTTATAGGAAAAAAATGGAATTTAAAAAAAAATATGAAATAAATTTTGTGAAATAGAAAGGAAAAAATAGAAGTTATATGAAAAATTTTGTAAATAAAAAATAATAAAAAAACTGTAAAAAAAAAAAAAAAAAAAAAAGCAACGGCTAGTAGCCGTTGCATTTGAATTTTTTCTTAAGAAATCATGTCGGTTATAACCGACAAAAATAACAAAACATTAAAAAAAAAATCCAGCCCTCCAACCCTCTCCGATTCTGTAGGGCCTTTGCAGATTCCAGAGCCCTCTGGCTTAGCCCTCGGTTGGAGACGGTTTTCGGGCTATTTTCAGCCCTCTGACCTTCTGGACCCTTCGGTTAGAGATGACCTAGGTCCTTGGAGGAGAGTTTTGCCTACGTGGCACAGCAAACGAAGTCAAATCGTTTTCGTGAATTTTTGAAATCATTCGAGCATTAATTTATTATTTTAAGTTGAGTAATACTAAGGAGACTAACTATTATTTGTAAAACCAAATGGGTTGATCTTACGGCTTGAGGTCTGTTGTCCCGTATTTTATGTCCCGTTTTTGTCTCTTGTTTAATTTTTTGGCACGTGTCTCTTACTTTAAACCCACGTCTAACACACATCTAACACAGTTAAGTTTTAATAAAACTAATTAAAAAATAAATAAAAACCAAACGGGTTAATCCGGAGCGTCTATTCTCTTCTAACAATGGGAAATCCAGCACACAGAGAGCATTCGGCTTCTGTGCTCGTCCGCCTCGCAATCGCCAACCCAGTACAGACAAACCCAGCAAGGAGCAAACTGAACTCATCGCAGAAAAACTAGAAAATCAAGCTAAAGAAGAAGAAGATGACGACGATGGGTTGCTGAATAAAGAGACCGGTGAGATCATTCGGCCAAGAGGGCCGGAGCCCACACGCTGCGATTGGGAGAGAAATGATCGAAGCTCTGATTTTTTCGTTTCTTTTTTTCAAATCTGATTAATCATGATAGCAATGGTATGCAGTTCTTTGATTTTTTTGGAGAATTTGTGCTTGACAGCACCCCTCATCGGAACCGTCGTTTGAATAATCACAGTCCAACACAGAATTCCCAGGTGAGAGAGAAAGAGAGATGAAAAGTCTTGGCGTGGGTCTCCAGTGTTGCTTTCTTTAATTTTTTTATTTTTAAAGAATTTTATAAAAAGGTGACAGTATTTTTGTAAAGTTAACTTAACAGTGGTAGATGTGGGTGTAAAGTAAGAGACACTTGTCATAAAATTAAACATGAGACACAAACGAGACATGAAATACGGGACAGCAGATCTGGAGCCCGATCTTACTTACTAAACTTGGTAAACAAATATCGAAACCAGGCAAAGCTTTAACACCGTTGTCCGGATTTCTTTATTTTTATAAATACTGTTAAAATAATCTAAAAATAATATCTGATCCATATTTCAACAAACCCTTAAACTTCACAGTTGCAATTTGAACATATTCTTAAATTTCAAATTCAAATTTTCAATAGAGATTCCATCTATCAGAAAAATAAAATTTGACTGGTAATCAAGGGAAAGAGAAATATGACAAACTATGGTTGGTCATTGGAGAGGAGTGTACAAGCGTCTTTGCAGATTCAAAGTACGACACATGATAACTATTAACTATGCGAATGTTCATGGTTAAAGATCTTTGTCATCCTATTTCATCGGATCCTTGCAACACATGATAACTATGTGAAAGTTCCTAATCTCCTCAATTCATTAAATGCACAAGATTCGGGCACACCTTACCAGAGTAAGATAAATTATGAACCAAAGATTGATTGCGTTGGATTCTAATGATATCAAGTGCTTAAAGATCTTTGCACACGAAGAGAGGGTTTCACTTTCTGAGGAAGTTAGTGCACGTAAATCCCAACTAAGTGAAATGAACCATGGAGGTTCAATATTTCTTGCGTCACTAGAGATCATCAACTCGAGAAGATCGCGATAGCCATCATACATGCAAGAAGGCAGTCGGACACCTATTAAAACACTTCTTAGAAACCGAGAAAATATCCAATTTTGGTCATGGGTAGGATTCACCATTCATCCGCTAGACATACCACAAAAGCCAATAGTAGTATGAAGGAGACAAATCTCTGAGAGTAAGTCATTAAGTTGATGCTTTATGGTGGATTGAAATGAATAAATCTCTTTTCATGCATTGTTCATCTTCTCCTTTCAACAAAATTTAGAAGTTGACTTTTAGTTTCTTACTCTACAATCTTATCTTGGTCATTCAAACATGACATAATCAAGAGAGTGAGATTTCAAAATTTGAGCTCGTATTGAATTGTCAAATAGCCCAATATAAAAGAAAATAAATTGACATTTGAACCATAGTAATTAAGACATAGACCATTGATGCAACTTACATGCACGGTGGAAAAAAAGAAGGGGTTTTTGTAAATTCACTCAACCGCATTTTTCTCAAATATTACGTAATATTTGGTTTCTGTTTCTTTTCTATTTTTCTCCAAAAATAAACAGTTATGAATGTGGGAGATGTGGCATGCACGTGTGGATGGAGTCAGCTGAGGCCAGCTGTGACGTGGGATGACGCGTGTGAACAGTGTCAAAATATGGGAACGAGGCTAACGTGAGCAGTAAAGATTTTTCAATGTGATCAGAATATGGGATAGTACATCACGTGTTATTATACAAATTGTGGAATACGTGTGCAAAAAAAGTTAATAACTTAAAAAATACAATTTTTTATTACTTAAATAAAAACACATAGTGTACCGGTCACAATGAAAATTTCCTCCGTGAGCAGGGAGCTAGCAGTAAGTTGGCGCCATCCACAACGGAACAGCCTCTCTCTCTCTCTCTCTCATACACTGGTTTTGCAAGGCACTTGGTTTAAGGAAGCTGTAACCCTGTATCACCCAGATTGCCACCCAACCCACGTGAATTGCTTATTTGGATTAGGGTTTACTAACTCGCTTTTAATCAACTTAATGAATTTTTGAGGATTACAGTAAGTTTTACATCAATCAATGACTAACAATCACTTACGAGTAAGCGGTTTAGGGATTTATTCTGGATGAGGGACGAAAATCGTGAACTGTTTTGATCAGTTGAGGTTATAAACAAAAGTCATTGGCAATTATGTCAGCATGCTCATGTGTTGAAACCTGTGGTTGCATTGCATCATGAAATGGGGTGGTTTTGGTGTACGTGGAAAGGAAACAATGACATGTCAACAGAGAGTGAGTGCAAAGCAATTAGCTGAGAGAGAGAGAGAGAGAGAGAGAGGGTTTTTGCCTAAAATGGCATAAGAAAAAAGGGGAGAAGAACCCAGAAAACAAGGTTCAGGAGAGGGAAAGGAGCCAAATACACGACACTCTCAGAGGCGGAGGAGAAATGTGGCCCGCAGCATGGTGCTAAATTTGTACGGAACTGATGGCTCAGTAGCGCAAACTAACCTGAGATTCTTCCACGTATGAGGCCACGAGTTGCCCAAACAAGATTTGTGGCTCTGCACTTGTATCTCCTACAGGCCTAGGCTTGGCCTCACCATGTGAAATTCACATTCGCAAAGTTTTGTTTGGTATCGGATATACGAACTTACAGTATTATAATTTGAGTACAACCTTAGGTATTGTACATTAGTATAGTCATCATTGAATAATCATATTTAGATTTTTTTTTTAACAGATGATAGAATATCTGTTTTAAACTATGGAAAGGGAATGTGGACACGGAATCTCAGGTAGAAAGACAAATGTTCTTAATCAACTAAACAATAAGACATTTTTAGTCAAATTTTTGTAACAAAATCTCTCTAATAGAGATGCGATCCACATTATTAGTGGACCCTATTTTTATTAAAGAGATGATACAAATAATGATAAATAATGATATAAATATGTAGTAAGTGTAATATTATTATTATTCTTTTGTAAATGTCCCATCGATGTAGATGGACGAGGTGGGGGTAAAGGAAGGTGGGGATGACCCCTATTGAAAAAGGGACCAAAGCAAGGTGTTCCCATAAAACTACTGACGCCTGTCCCAAACACCTCCCACCTACAAACCTCTCTTTCTCCATACCACTATTATAAAAACCAATCCACCACTCCATTTATTCATCCTTTCTTTCACTCACCACTAGCATAGCTACTTGTTCAAGCCACCCAACGCCACCTCTCAAACCCTCCCATCACCACTTCCACCACCATGCAACTTTTTGCCTCATCAACTTTTTTGCATTCTGATTTTGTTCTTCTTCTGATTCCAGTCCTGCTGCTCTTAGGCCTTGTCCTCCAATGGCGCCACCCCAAGCACAAACGCCTCCCCCCTGGCTCAATGGGTTGGCCTTACATAGGAGAGACCCTCAAGCTTTATACTGAAAACCCAAATTCTTTCTTCTCTACCAGGCAAAAACGGTACACACAACTCATATCACAAGAACCCCATGTTGTCTTTGGAATTCTCCTCATCGTAGCTAGTTTTTCTCTCTTTTCTTTTTCTCCAAACAAGTTTCTTAATTGGTTGTATCATATTCACTAGCGCTTACAGAGTATATATACAGTTTTTGCATACAACATGTGTGTGTGTGTATATATATATATATATAACTTTTTACTTATACACGCGATAATTTATATTATATTAATCTAAACTAAGAAGAGTAGATTCGAACTTGAAAGCATAGGGAAAAAAACTTAGCTAAGCACAAGTCCAATATATAGATATATATATATATATATATATATATATATAACGAGTTAATATGAGAGTGAGATGACACAGAACGGTTGTTTTTATTGACTTGTTGTAGGTATGGAAATATTTTTAAGACGCATGTATTGGGGTGTCCTTGTGTGATGATTACAAGCCCAGAAGCAGCAAGAATGGTTCTTGTGAGCCGGGCACATCTGTTCAAGCCGACCTATCCAAGAAGCAAAGAGAGAATGATAGGACCGGAAGCAATATTTTTCCACCAAGGGGCCTACCATTCAAGGTTGAAGAAGATGGTTCAGGCTTCCCTTTTGCCTTGTGCAATAAAAGAGTCGGTCTCAGAGATTGAACAAATTGTTATCAATCTTCTCCCCACTTGGAAGAACAACACCATCAACACTTTGCAAGAGATGAAGAGGGTATATCTGTCAGTTCATGGACTTTTTTTTTTTTTTTTGACTTTTTTGCATGTCTCTGAGCATTGGAATCTTAAAGTTTGTTGCTTTTCTTGGCTTGGCATGTCAGTATGCTTTTGATGTGGCAATGATTTCAGCCTTCGGAAACAAAAGGGACTTTGAAATGGAAGGAATTAAACATCTGTATCAATGCCTTGAGAAAGGCTACAATTCCATGCCTCTTGATCTACCTGGAACTTCCTTTCACAAAGCCATGAAGGTATTTATGTATATGTTGTGATTGTCTCTATTGTGGTCCACCCAATTTTCCAAATTCAACAAATATCATTGGAGATTTGGCTTTTTTTTAATTTCTTGCACATTCAACTTTAATACATACATCATAAGCTTCCCTTAATTTATCTCGAAACATTTGACCTTCATTGATTTCTGACACGTGTGAAAGAAATTATTATTTTACTTTTAATGAGTTATATGCATGTGTCAAGACCCAGTTAATTTTTTTTTTTTTTTTTTTTTATACTTTTGGTGAGTTATGTATGAGATCAAATCTTCTGAACTTATTTTGTATGTGGTTTCTTTGCGATCTTTATTATTGATTAACACGTGTTAAATTTATAACAATAAAGTTAAAATAGGTTGAATTTAATTAAACGATAGAGGTTACGAAAATGCCACACACAAAATGGATGCAAAAAATTTGAACTCGTTATTTATGCACATGTATCAAGAAATATTGATTTACATGCAAGAACTAATTTCTTCCAAATCAAAGTTTGACGTGCATAAATAAAGTTTTCTTTTTAAGATTTTTAATGATATATGTCAAGACTTTATTAATTTGCAGCTGAGGAATTACTCCTTTGAATGGTCTACTTAGTAATACTAGAAATAGAGTATGGAGTTGCTAACTAATGTTGAACAGGCAAGGAAGCTTCTCAATGAGACATTGAAAAAAATGATAGAATTAGAGAGAAGGAAGAGTCCTAAAGAAGATAGTGGTGGCTTGTTGAGAGTAATGCTGGGAGCAACAGACCAGAATAATAAGCTTAATTTGCAGCTTAGTGATTCTCAAATTGCTGACAATATCATTGGGGTCATCTTTGCTGCTCACGATACCACTGCAAGTGTCCTAACTTGGCTCATTAAATATCTCCATGACAACGCCGATCTCCTAGAAGCTGTTACTGTAATTTTTCTCTTCTTAGTTAATCTTCCCAAAGAAAAAAAAAATACCAATATTTCGTTTTAATTAATATATACACGTATATATACATTGACTAGTTTGATGTTTCAGAGAGAACAAGAAGGAATTCGATGCCAATTAGTCAATGAGAATCGTGGGCTTACGTGGGATGATACTAGGCGCATGTCCTTAACTACCAGGGTAAAATAATCATTTCGAAAAATTCTATACGGAATATATATTCCATTTTCATACTGTCAATTAATTAGATTTTGAAGTTGACAAGTCTTACAACAATACAATAACTTTATGCTAGTAATAATCTCTTAGGATGTTCATGTTTTGACCTAGATGCTTGTGCTGCAAGATTGTGTATTTGGAACACCCTTTTTTTTTGACAAAAATTAATATGATTAATAGTCCAGAATCTCATTCTGATAAGATAAGTACGTATGTTTACGATTATATGTTTTTATCAGAATGATTCAAGTGAGTGTGAAAATGAATGAAATATCTCATCAGGTGATTCAAGAAACTCTAAGAACAGCAAGTATACTGTCCTTCACATTCAGAGAAGCAGTGGAAGACGTGGAGTTCGAGGGTTATGTTATCCCTAAAGGTTGGAAGGTGCTGCCTCTATTCAGAAGCATTCATCACTGTGATGATTTCTTCCCTCAGCCCGAAAAGTTTGACCCTTCAAGATTTGAGGTAATAAAACCTTAGCCAAAGAAACAAATAAATTATATAATCTCAAGATAATGAATTTATAATATCCCTTGGATCTCTTCATCATCTGTGTGACCAGTGCTGTGTCTCTGGGGCAATATTCAAAAAGTGGGTCATATGCTCATGCAGTAGACTGTTATACTTTATCTTATTTTGGCCAGAAACATAAGGTTATCAATGTCTGGAGGATTATCCTGGTCATGTCCTTTTCATTCTTATATGAATCTTCCTCTCTATTCACAAGGATCTGGGTCTGGCTCATGAATATCTCTTTCTAAGTTTCAGGTCACGTGACTTTGTTTTGTTTTTGTAGGCACTTAGCAATTAAAATTTTGAATATATATTTATTCATTATTTTTTATTACAACTTGAACGCAGAACATATATAGTGAGTTGAAAAGAAATATCATATATTCATCGAAACTATCCACAATTTTGTATTCATTCTTGTTTACTTGCTAGAAGTCTAAAACTATATGTGGTAAACGAAATTTGAGAATATTCAGTTAAGTTATTGTTAGAAATTGTCGTGGATTATTGGTTGAAGTGATGCTTTAATGTATTTATCTGTTTTTGGGTTTTTGTGATTTGTGTGATGGTGCAGGTTCCACCAAGACCAAACACTTTCATGCCGTTTGGAAATGGCGTGCATTCTTGTCCAGGCAGTGAGCTGGCCAAGCTTGAGATGCTCATCCTCCTCCATCACCTCACCACTGCTTACAGGTAATTCTCTCTATGCCTCTCTCTGCACATCTTCTAATAGCATTGCCAACAATATTTATAACGTGACAAATCTGTGAAAAATAATGAGATGACAATTGCTACGGAGACTCACCCCAAAAGCGATTCCCCCCAGACTCGTTGGCCATCTGGAGTTTATGCCTTAATCCATATCAGTTAAGGCCCATTTCTAAAAATAGAAAATAAAATATACAAATTTGTTCATGATATAGAGTGACACATGTCCTGTTCAGTTTTTACTGGACCATCTCTTCGGCATAAACCCCATTAGCATCGCCACCGTGCCGAAAACCGCATCATGGGATACTTTAAGATTCATCAACAACCAAAAACACAATTATAAACACTAAAAAATTCTTCATCAACGTCATTTGATAAATCCACGGCTTTATCTGCTCTTCATTCTGAACTTTCTTTTAAACTTCTGGGACGAGTCTCCGTAGCATTTCTAATTTTTTATTAGTATCCTAAATGTTTTGTATTACTAATGTTAATAAAATAATTTTAATTATGACATTTATAAGATTAAATAAAATATTTTTAATTATGACGTTTATGAGATTAAATAAAATAATTTTAATTATGACATTTATAAGATTAAATAAAACGAAAAACTGTTCTCGTTTTCTTTTAATTGTAAAAGTGATTTGTCCCCTCTTAGTCGACCAGAGCCTGGAGGGCAGTGGAAGGGGGATGATTGGTGGTCCAATCCAATGGTCCTTCCTTAGGCTGTGGAAGTGGTCCTCAGTTTCACTGAGGGCGAGTGGCCGGGCATTAACTTTTTATACTAGGGTTTCTTAGTAGAAATCTGGTCACCATATATATGATATATGATATGCTAGGAAGATTAAATTGTAGTTTAAATTTGTAAATTAAATAATAGGTCATCAATAGAAATCAGTATGTATATCAATCCTTAAGTAATAACCTAATTATAAACTTCTATATCTTTTAATTTTTAAAATTTTGTTTAAAAATTTAATTTTCCTAACATTACTATATGATATATGCCCACCCCAAACTAGATTCGTTCAGTTTGCATGTTTACTTCAACACGTGGCATGCATGCACCTAGCATTAACTAGTCAAACATAACTTAACTCTTACCAACTTTTCAATTTTTTTCCCTGAGATCCGTAACATGGATCCTTGTAGATGTGGCGTTTTACCGACGAAAAATAATTAAGTTTGTGTATTTTGATGTAAGTTCGATTTTCATCAATTTTTCTCTTTCAAACAATACATAATTTAATAAACTAACACTATCATTTGAAGAAAAAAAAAAAAACAAACAAACATGAATCTAATCAAGTATCAATTAAAATTTCACATGACGAAAATAATGAACATTCTCTCGGTAGTTACATATCTTTTCAAGTTCTCTTTCAAATTTGAGTAATTAAAATTGAAGTAAACTTTAAAAAATTAAAACAATAACATCAATACTAAACAAATATTTACGTTTAGCCGCCTTTCTTACTAATATTCGTGTACGATTTATACTAGACCCATCCTACTGTTTAACCGTCCACCTTTGCCTTCTTACTAGATTCTTCCAAGTGTTTAACTGTCCATCTTTGCACTCTCCTCCTCCGGCAGCTCCTCCCTTTATCGCCGGTCGAAACTCAAGTCTTCCATTTCTCTCGTCTCTCTTTCATATCCTTTCTCGTCCCATTTCTATTAGGGGTTGAAACATTCTCCTCTCTTTCTCCCTCCGTACATACACATAAATAGTTAGCTATTTTCCAGAAATCATATGAGCCAATAGATTTGAATAGTGATCTCTACTATGATGTACGTAGCCATCAGTTGTATCATACAGTTACAGGTAGGACCTTCCTCTAACCCTAATCAACTATTAGGATAGAGACACTCTTGAGTGATATTAGATCTCACAGATCGTGAGACATCTGCCATTTCCGTTTATAAATCTCTGGTCTCATTTGAGGAGTCTAGGCCTCAGAGGGTATCCTCTACGTTGTAGATTGGCGTACCACAGGTCCACATGTCAAAACAAAGTTTACTTGATATATCACCAATCAGGGATGGAGCCACTAAGGGATGAGAGTGATTTCGGGCTCATGCTAACTACGGTGTAAGAGATTCTCCGGTGGCCCAAAACCTGCATCCTTGTGAAGAAGTTGAGATGTGATCGTTTTTTTTTATTCTAATAGTTTTGTTGTTTTCTTTTTGCGGTTTAGTTGAACGGTGAGTTTAGGGGTGGGGGTAATTTATTCCCATAGCAACATAATCAATTTTTTTTCAACCTAATAAACTATTATTTGCACACCTCTTTGCCCTCCTTTTTTTATCAAACAATTTAAACCATATTTCTTTTTATTTTCTTTAAATATTAGAAAAAATTTAGTGGTTATCTCCTCTCTATCTGCCACTTAGTTGTACTGTACAATTCTTTTGATTCACTCTATTAAATTTAATTGGTTTTTCAATTTTGTAATGATTACTTCAATGACCCATGTTATAAGTTCAAATTTTTCTCTCTAACATATATGGAAGGCCATCCTCACATAAAATGCTGACTCCACCAATAATCATTAATATTCAGGCTGATTAAAATTTGATTTGCCAGCTGTACTCTGTCTAGATGGAATGGCTATGATACAATTGTTGTGCCAGCTGTTGACACGGGTGGCCACCATAGCTCTGTTCTGCATGTTCTACACCACAACATCATGCTCAAGTGTGTCCACATCAAATATCTCACAAGAACATGCATGCAGATATGATTAGCTAGGCACATGATTTTGTTAGCATCCAAAGCTACAGTACTTTGGCTAATCAAATGAGTTTGACGTTGTTGCTGACAATAACACTGATATTTAGCGATGTGATTGCTACCAACTAAATAGCCATATGCCTATTACAATGACACATTTACTAACGTAGTGATTAGAAACATAAGTTTCTTCATATGTATATCAAACTATGATTTGACGGTACAGAAAATGCTTTGGCTAAGTTTTGTATGATTGGTATTGATCAGGTGGCAGGTGACGGGAGATGAGGACGGGATACAGTATGGCCCTTTCCCGGTACCCAAACAGGGATTACCAATAAAAGTAGTCCCAAGAAACGAGAAGGCAACTTAATCAAGCTAAGCTTCTGGGTTCTTGACGGCAATCCAATATTTTCCAATGGGGCCAGAAGCAAGCATACCCCATTGAGCCTTTTTTACTTTAATTCCATGTTTTTTCCTTTTTCAAATCTGTCATTGGGAATCCTATGTTTCTTCTACCTCAGTTCACTTGGGTACGTGGATTTGTCCGGTTTGCTAGCTAGCATAAGATCATGATCTGTCAGTGTCAAACTGTGAATCTAAATGTGTGATAGAAATGTGAAATGAGAATTTTCAAAGCACAAATTAAGATGTGCGCATTATTATTTGGTCTAGCGGCACAACATTTCTCATGGACGGCAATTCTCGATGAAAAAACAAAGGAGATGGATAGTAAGATATGTTGTTGAATGTGTGAATAACAAAAGGATGAGAGGGAAGATCAGATGTGTGTGGTTTTGGATTGTGGATGAAGTAACTTTCAGTTATCATTGATTTTTCCTGTGAATCTGAAGCCAACTAGGCCAAGCTGGAGGTCTGAATCTGAAGCCAACTAGGCCAAGCTGGAGGTCTGGCCCATGTGTTATTAACCCTAACACTGTCACAAGCCAACTGCGTGCAAATGTACATGGATTTTTGGATTGTCGGGCCCGTCCTACTCTAACGACATCGATATTATCCACAACTTTACCACCTATCAAATCCGTCAGGTGTGGAGTTTTACCACAAAAATCCTCGGTATTAGTTAGAATAGGGTAATCCTATTTAAACCCATTGTGGAACTTTATCTCCACCGATGTGGGACATTTAACAAAATGTGCATGGATATGGAGGGTGTGCACGCTAGAATTCCACGTCGGGCAGTGTCTCAGCACACAACATTGAAGCCTACGTGGAAGACTAAATAATTCCAGTTGAACTACTGGTGTGCTGGGAGGAGGAAACTTGATCAAATATAAAGCCAAAATGTTATAACTTAAAGAAAACTAGAGCTTGAGAGGGATGTTATTTGTCCAAGAAAATGATTGGGAGGGATGTTTAATTGATGATTCCAGTTGTCTTGGCTTGCTGAGACTTTTGAGTGCACACAATAAATTTGTGCCAAAAAGATACAAATTTGGCCAATAATCCCTCCAAATTGATCACATCAAATAGGTTATGCCATACATGTAGACGACGGAACAATGCGATGTTTTGGATCCGATGCTTACACATGAGCATGACTATCGTGAGTCACCCTATGAAAGTGCGTGGATGACTTATCATAGCATTATCCATTATATATACTTAAGATTAAAACATCATATTTAGAAAACATTTTCTGCACTACAAGAAAAACATCTATTTACTTAATTAGAGACAGATGAAGTTTTCACTAACCTATAAAGACAATGCAAAAACAAATTAGTCATGTTTGTTCAATTGGTATAACTATTGAGGTTTAGGGACATTAAATAAGATGTCTCTCAATTTTTACATGAAATTCAATTTAGTTGACGATGGAACAATGCGGTGTGTTGGATCTGATAATTACGCACGAGCGAAAGTCACCCCACAAAAGTGGGTGGTTCTTAATCCGTTTAAACTTGCGACTGATTTCCACGTCAAGCATTGAGATTCAGCTGTGCAATTTCTAACTTGTATGTTCGGATGACCAACGATAAAGATGGTGATACTAAGCGGTAGCATGATCTAAAATATCCATAATATTCCGATATTTTCATCGAAATTTCCGTTTTTTTGGACTACCAATATTTTTTTGGACTACCGATATTTCCGATATCATCGATATTTTAAACCTTGCTAAGTCACTCATGTATCTTACCATACAATGTATAAAGTGTAAAATATTGTACTAATTCATTATATATAAATGATTATGGTGTGTTCAAACTTCTTTCATTAATTACTACATATTTTCTACACTCACAATGTTTGCCAGCTCGCTATATAATCAACTTAAATCAGTTATATCTATCATGCAATGCATTTTCTTCCAATTTTTTGTGATAAACTAATAGATAATTGACTAAATAAACATCCTGCAAAGTTTCAATAAAAATTTCCAAGTTTTTCTTACATTTTCCGTGGTTTTTATTCAATTTTTATCGATATCGATAATATCCCAATATTTTCATCGAAATTTCCGTGTTTTTGGATTATCAATATTTCCGATATCATCGATATTTTATACCTTGAGCGGTAGTAATGGTGGCAATGAATGTGATGGCACCGGTGGGAGTGGTGAGTAGTTTTGACACGTAGTTGTGTGGCAATGACAACAATGCTAATAGGAAGGTGGTGGTGGAGCAATGACAACGACGCTAATAAGAAGGTGGTGATGGTGGTGGTGGTGATGGAACAGCGACAGTGACAATGGTGTTGGTAATTTTAATTAGAGAACATTGTTGGAGTGGTATCGTTAAGTTGGTTAGTTGTATTTAACTTTTGTATTACTTGTAAATAACTTTTGTGTCATTTGACGTCAAATTTAACTAGCGTTGCTGGAGATGCTTTAATCTCATAAAATCCCTCCATAAAGTTTAAAAGAAATAAAATCACCCCAAAACATGAAGAGGACAAGCGAACAACACACTTCCTACGATCAAAGATGTTTAATGCACGCATAAAATGGGATATTTTATGACTGCATTAGCCATTCACTTAAGTTTTGCAAAGGCAAAGCTTGTACGCAGGCCACAGAATGTCGATTTCCGACAGAAAATATATCTAACATACGAACACAACGGGCAGATCCTAATTTGGTACACGACCTTAAAAGTATGAACAAAAGTGAGTGAGTTTTGTTTCCATATCCTAACCATGAAATTGTCTGAAGTTTCTGAAACCATGGTCGAAAACCAGAACTGATGCGATAAATAACAAGTAAAATCGGAGGTGTAACACGAGAAACAAACTCCCCGATCACATACAGCTTGGGAGGGTGGAAACAGGTTCTTAATCTAATTGGATAAGGAAATGGCACAAGTAAAATTCACAACATGAAACACGAGCAAACTTTACTCGTGCTAACGGGCCCCCACATACATACACTTACATGAAGAAAAAACAGTGGAAGAATGAAAGGAGGAAACTGGACATCGTAGACGAAAAACATGTGAGTTTGAAAATGTCCAAACAATCTTTGTTCTCAAGTGCATGAAATTGTAAAAAACAGAAAAGACATAAACGATAGTGATCTGTTTGACCGCTGATGAAGAAAAAGACCCTACTAATTTTTCAAAGAGATAAAATGCTAGACACTCGGCAGTTTCCCTGTGCTCCTGAGAAAATCTGTGGTGTAAATCAAATATAAGTTGATAGATCTCACATCTGATGAGGTGACCCTCATGTTTATGAGGCGGAGTTTCACGGTGCCAGTAAATAGACCTTGTCAAACATTCTAAGTTCGATGCACCAGAGGGAATGCTACAAAATTGGCTTGTGTACGTGCTCTTCCAGAAAGCAAGGCCACACGTTGTTAATGCCTCCTGGAGAGGTTGGGGTTTTCTAGTTTATAGCAGGATAATGCTCCTAAAGTTCAGCAACTCTTGATCTAATGAAATACTAATGTAAAATTCTTCAAATAGTTTACTATTCCTTGGAAACACAGACATTCCTTGTAAAAAGAGCAACAGATAATGCTTCACTTCGATCTAAGATAACATTCTTGCTATGTTTATCTAATTATACTAGCAAGTATACAACATTTGGAAGGAATGATACATGCCGATTCAAGCAAGAAAATGAGGATAATGCTTCACTTCGATCTAAGATAACATTCTTGCTATGCTTATCTAATTATACTAGCAAGTATACAACATTTGGAAGGAATGAAACATGCCGATTCAAACAAGAAAATGAGGATAATGCTTCACTTCGATCTAAGATAACATTCTTGCTATGCTTATCTAATTATACTAGCAAGTATACAACATTTGGAAGGAATGAAACATGCCGATTTAAGCAAGAAAATGAGGATGTGTCAAGATCAAGAGACCAGCTAGTTACATGCATCTCAAACAAAGCAGCAAACCCACTTAATTAACAAGGTTGTGGTTTAGGGATAACAAAATACTGATACAAAACTCGGTAAGTTCATATGCCTCATCACAGAAACAAAAAGCATTGACAGATATTCTTGATTCCATTACTGAAACATACAAATAGAAAAAGTAACACCAGGTAAAAAAAGAATAAACAAACGAAACACATGATTGAGTCAGACTTAATCTACCCAGAATCTAAATGCTTTCTTTCTTAGAGTTATGGCTTAAACCCGGAAAAAGGAAGTATCTCAAGAGCATAGTTGGCCTTCTCTCATGCACGTTAAAACTGAATTAACCTTCAAATTAATTTTCGCGACAACCTTTCTTTATGTGCCCACCTGCTAATGATTTTTTTGTAGTTTTCACTTATTATTCACTTATAATGACCATTAGTTTAACATACTTCTTCAGCTTGGTACATTTTTAACGCTCTTGCAAAATGCTCAGATTAGTTTCAACTTCATCTGAACTAAACTTTTCAGGAAGCGTTATCTGCAACTTTCAATTAACTAAAGTGGTAACATAACTTTAGAGCTTTTATCAGTCATTAACTTTGACTTGTAACATCAACTACCAGTTTCAGTTGGGTCAGCAACAAGCCCAAGACCAACTCAGGATAGATTATCCCCAGGCCATCTGAATACAGCATGACTCATTGCGGTCAAATCATGCCAATGTGCTTGATGGAGAATGCCAAAACCAGGATTTAGACTGAGCAAAGTGATCGAAGTTTGTAACACCTTGTTGATCGTATCTCTATATCATTACTTCAGCACACACAAATCTTGTATACTTACATGAAGTCATCTAAAAGTAAATGTGAAAACTTCAATCAAGTGATCTTTACAAATAACAACAAATAACTTGCGATTAACAAAGACTAGAGAACAAAGAGCGCTGCTTTATATATCCTAGCATGCATGGTGTTCCAACAAATCATGGTGAAACCAAACCTCACTATTAAAGCCTATATAGAAAAAACCACTCAGACAAGTGAACACAAGGCGCTAGGATTTGGAGAAATTGGGGTCAAGATCCAAATATTCTTATCATACATGTGGAACTCAACTTGACCTAAAAGCTAAAACTTTTTAGGTTGCGAGTCTATCGATGCATATGCATATAATAATCAACAATTCTATTTTCAGTTCCATGTAGGATAACCAATCACACTTTTTCTCAATGAAACTACCTGTCAAATGTGAACCTATCATATTTGTTCTCACACCTTTATTTGGAATATTAGATACTTCTCTGGTCTGGTACTTGCTCCCAAGCTCCCTTAACGGCCTCGGTACATGACTCAAGGAACTCAGATTGACTCAAACGTTTTACCATTCAGGTTTGGGTCTGTATTAATCCATAATTCCATGTTCACTATCCCATGGGGAAAATAATTAACACTTTTTTTTTTCCAAGAGAAGACATAAAACAAATGTAACAAGTAAAATAAAAAGGGACCTCAAAAAAACCAACATGAAAGATAACCTAATCAGCAAATATAAATGCTCAACTTGGCTATGTAATCTAACATTCTCATATTGATTCAAAACTCAAGTACTTAGTACAATACATTATATCCTCCACAATACAAAATTAATAACTGCATACCTTGTGAACAACTAATAGATAAAAGGAATGAACTTGTACCTAACTTTACTTGCATAATCCGTATACCTCTCCCCAAAAGTCTCAACCATCAAGGCCTCCTCCATTTTGGCCTTCTGATCATAGTACAACGAACAAACCGCTACAATGAATAGCAAGCTCAAAGGTGCCCGAAGCGCAATGAAATATGTGGCAAACAGAAGCATTGTAGAAGCATATATTGGATGACGCACCCACCGGTAAGGCCCAAACTGCACAACAGCAGTTGGCACCACAACCTTTTCTGAATACTTTGCAAGATACAATGTTGAGTTATACTGCATTAGCAGAGTCACCAATATCAAAATCCAAATAGGAACATTGCTCCACTTGCCAGGAATGCGATGAAGCTCGGGTCCTTCAAAAGCAGCCAGCCAGTGACCAGCCATGACCCCAACACAGAACAAAAGGCGCAACCATTTCGGTGGGCTCACATCCCACTTGGGATCATGTGGGCGGGCATAGTAATCCCCATATAACCGTTTCCTCACACTAACATTGAAGAAAAAGAAATAATGGTACACAAAGAAGAATACATAAGGCCAACCTTCAAGGAAGCCATTGAAATGGGCAGGTGGCACAAGTGTGAGCCAAGAAAACACTGAGGTAACAATCGCAAGCTGCTCAAACACATTTGCTTCACAGCGCAAATGCTTCCTAAAGCAGTATAACCCGTAAACCGCAACTGATACAGCCAGAAACCAAGGCCAAAACATCCAAGTCCAGCTGAAGTACATCCAGAAAAAAGGGCTCAATAGCAAATTCAGAGTCCCCCTTGTGGCTGCAATTGCAATTGACAAAATCCCGGACCACTTAATCACATCAAATGGGGTTAATTTCAAAAGGGTAGTTTTCAACGAATCAAATGAGAGGTTATTGAAAAGCTTCAGCAATGGAGTTTGAGATTCTGGGTGGCTTGAGGTGCTGGAAAATGAGCATTTGAGTGGAGCTAACAAATGGGTGCTTCTTCTTGTTCTTGTTGGGGATGATAAGAATGATGGGTTTTGTGAAAGACATAAACTTGCTGGGGTTTTGAGGGGTTTAAGGCTATGGCGGAAGGTAGAGCTGTGGTTTATTGGATTGCACGGAAGGTGTTTGCTGAAATGCCTGAAAGAGAAATTGGGTCTGTCTGTGAAGGTGGAACAGAAAGGGATTGTTTTGGAGTGAAGCAACATTGACTTGGCTTCCATGGTTGGGTGAGGATGCACAATTTGGCTAATCCAAACCAAATTTAGTCAAGAGAGTATCCAAAGAGACAGACATGGGAAAATTAGGGCTTCTGTCATTCTTCTGTGTTTCATTGAAACATTGCGTACAAGATGGAGCCGTAAGGGTCTTATCCTATGAAATTAATTTAAAGATTTATTGGGCCTAGATTGCTTTTGCACTGGCCCATAAACTTTTTTCACTAATTTATGGCCCAAGTTTATACTTCTTCTTGTCATCATTTTGATCATTATCGTTCAAGATTAATCAATGTCGTCTTACATATTTTACTCCGCATATGAATGTCATATTTTCCTTAAAAATCTTTAAATTTTGTGCTCAATTTGGTCATATCTAATTTTGTCAAAACAACACTATCTTACTTTTGTTTCACTCATTTATTTATTACCCTTTTCAATCTTTTCTTTTGTGAGTACTCGTATATTGATTTTCTTGAATCCAAGTTCTTTAGATGGCTTCTTCTCATATTTCTTATCCTTGGAAATCACTATTTAGTTACATAACTGTAATTAAACTATCTTTAGTACGAATCTTGTCTTTTGATTAGATCAATCGTGTGAATTATCCGTCAAATTTCATTATATAATTGACTTTTAGCCCATATTTCTAACAATCCCACGTGTGATTAAAAATTTATCTAACATGCTCTAAAGCCAATTGCATCGCAAATTGACATTGTTACCATTCTACATTCAACTTAAGACTTAAAAATATGAGACCAATAAAATTAAAGCTTATTTGCGGTAAACACCTTATGAAACTCAAACTCGATCTAACTTAACTCAATAAAACTTAAATTTTATCACTTAAGCCCAATTTGATATTGTTTTTTTTTTTACCAAATGTTGTTTCACTTTAGAGTAAGCATTAAAAAAGTGGCTGGTAAAAATACAATATTCCGTTTATTTTAAAAGCAATAACTTCAAGATAGCGGCTTTTAAAGTACGATGTATGTTGCTTTTAAAAGTTGTTTTAATAAAAAATGGAGTTAAGCCTTTAATGAATATGTTTAATTCCTTTAATACTCTTATTAATTTTTTTTAAAATCACATTATTTATCCTTCCAAACACATTTTATTGTTGAAAAACAAAGTGACCACGACCACCTATCACAACAAACCTTAACCTCTTACACTGTTATTGCCATTACCACAACCACCACTGCCACTACCATCCTTGCCGCCACTGTCACCATCGCCGTTGTCGACGCCCTACCACCATTGTTACCTCTACAACCAGACCCCCAGACTCCTTTATTGACACCACCATAATCACAATCATTGCCCTTGCCATTGTTATCGTCGTCATCATCCAAACTATCATGTTCATTTTTGTCACTACATATAATTATATTATTTTTGTACATTAAAGTTTACTAAATGCTTTTACATCACTTTTTATACTGGCAATACTTTTAAAAATACTGTTTATCATACGCTCAACTACTTTATTTTGCAATTGATTATTCTTAAGTTAGTAACATACAAATTTTTTTTTTAACACACAAATCCCAAACTAGCACTTAATTATTTAAAAGGAATTTTAACGAAAAACTTATAGTATTATTCAATTTTAACAAAAAACCATATTTTTACTTTTTTTTTATATTATTTACTACACCTTTATTTATCATTTTTCATTAAAACTAAATTTTCTTTTTTTTTTGAACTTTTTTGTTAATTTTCCTTTCAAATTAGGTTCCAAGTTCGTTAAAGGTTCCGTCAAATCACTTTATTTTCAACAGCCAAAAGCCAAACTCTGTGGCGTGCATGTCGTCTTGTCTTGTTTGCCAAGCCTTAGTTTCAATAAATATAAACTACGTAACACCCCTCTGACCACCAAATATCTCCACAACCCACCATAACGAGATGGCTTAGTGATTGAAAATAAATTATAGAATCGTAGTTAATACGGTATATTTTTTATTTGATTCAATTTTTAACATTGGTTAATCATACGATGGTAGGTAGAAAAGATTGAAATACTTTTGTAAATCTTCTCAATCTAAAATAATAGACTGCCATGTCGAAGCTACCAATCATAGGATGGCAGTCAGAAAAAGTTGAAATATCTATACATCTCTACTTATTTGCTTTTTTTTTCTTCAAAACCTCACTACATGTAATTTTAACATATCTCTAATTAAAAAATTAAAAAATAAAAACTTCTCGCTCCCACCTTCTCTATCACTCTTTTCTCCTTTCTTTATATTTTAAAAACAAAAATAAAAAAAAATTCTCACACACACTGTATGTGCCCATATGCTAGTATTTTTTAAAGAGTGTGCTATCCACACATCCCATTTTACTTCTCACACACCCATTAATAATTTCTGTCCGTTGATCTTTTTCAATTCATTCGATTCAACGGTTAAAAATTAAAAAGATATGTGAAAAGTAAAATAGAGTGTATGGACATTACACCCATTTTTTAATGAAAATATCTCCACAACCAAACACTTCCTTTTGTTTGTCTCTCTCCCCGCCCCCAATTCCCAAACACACACAGCTGAAAATACGCACAAAATAATTTAACAATTCGAAAACAAAAAAATAATCGGATTTTTCCAAATGGGTTCATCGAATCAGATCGAGAAGTAAGTTTCCATTGATTCTCAACGATTCTCAGAAGCAAAATTTCAGTCTCCCTCTCCGCCTGAGACATCAAAGTTATGATTTTTTCTCGGATTGGTCGCTCCGTTTCTCGATCTTCTCGCGCCAGGGTAAGCTCCCCAATTTCTCTCTTTTTTTGTTGGATTTTTTAATATAATTTTGGTTTAAATTTATGGGTGTTTGTTTTGGTGTTAGAATTTGTTGCTTGGAAGTGGGCGATCGGCGGGTCTGATTGGGAATGGAGGCATTTCTGGAGTTCCGCGTTTTGGTTCGTATCTGGGTCCGGTCGATGGGGAATTAGGGTTTTTGAGGTCGTATTTTGCTGCGTCAATAGGGGCCCACAAGGCCTGCGTTTCGGATTTCAGTTGCATTCTTGCAAACCCTAAACTTAGCCGACACTTTTCGAGTGAAACCCCAAAGAAAAAGAGTAAGCAATTTGCATTTTTTATTTGTTGGATTATTAGTTATTTGTTTTTCGGCTAAATGAATGTAATTATTGCTGTGATTTGTGGAGAAAGATTGTGGTTTGATTGAGTATGTGCTTGTGTTGCAGATTATGAGAACTTCTATCCCAAGGAAAAGAAGGAAATTCCGAAAGGAGATGAGCAGAAATCGGAATCAAAAGGTTAAGTTTCTGTCCTTCAGCTGCAACCAGGCTTATTTTCAATGCATTTTCACTGTTATTATTGTTTGAATTGAATGTTTATCGTAGAAGTGTAAAAATGTTGGATTTTTTTGTTTGTTTTAATTAAGTTAGATTAGTGTTTTTACGTTATCAGAGTCTCGTGGGTGCTCAGATGTTTTGGAGTTTTGGCTACTTAACTAATGTTGTCAGGAAAAAAGATAATGTGTTTTTGAAGCATTGGAGTTCGAAGTGACACCCCTGTGACATTTTATTTGCCGGTTACAGTAAGTATTTTTGTGGAGACACATGGTTCTAGTTGTAAAGCACTTACCCCACACTCACAGTTAAAGTTCGACTCTTGCTGTTCCCTACCTAGGCTTAGGATACCTGAAAAACAAGACGTATTTCATCGTAAAGTGGACATTTTATTTGGTAGGTGTTTGTGACTGACACTGATAAATGGCTACAATATTCTGTCTGTAAACTTGATCATCTGTCACTCATCTGGGTCTGATAGAAAATGGTGGCAAATTTAAAAGTCGAGGTTCTGTGTTAGTATTTGATATTGAAGGCTTGCGTGATTGAAAGCTGTTCAGTGTTCAGTATTTGATACTGCAACATTTTCTCCTTTCTCTAGTTCTCTTCCTCACTATTTTTTCTCTCTCCCTTTCCAAGATGATTGCTCTTTCATCACCCATACTTTTAGGAATATGCTTTAATATTTTTTCAATTTCAGATGAATCAAAGGCAGATGATCAGGGGAGTTTTCAGGAAACTTTCTTGAGGCAGTTTCAAAATTTAATTACCCCGCTATTGGTCATTGGGCTATTTCTTTCCTCCTTCTCCTTTGGTACTCCTGATCAGCAACAGGTTAGTGTGCACACAAATATGTGATCTCTTTTTTTCAATTCTCTTGCTATATATGTTTTTCCATTTTAGGTTTTCTGAATGGTGTTTATGCAACTACAGGCCCATATTGTATAATTTCTTGTTCTGTTGTGATATAAAGCAGAGGTCGCACTTGGTGCGATGGCAAGTGCCTTCGCCCATGAGCAGTAGGTCTCGGGTTCGAGCCTTGGGAGCAGCCTCTCCATAAATGGGGGTAAGGCTAGCCGACATTCACCTCTCCCAGACCCTGCGTAAAGCGGGAGCCTTGTGCACTGGGTACGACCTTTTGTTATGATATAAAGCGGAGTCGACTCTAAGGAAAATGTTTCAGAGTCCAACTATTTCCACATTGGATCCCCTACATGCGAGCAGAGAATTGGGAAATTAGTTTCGTTGTTTAACATCTTCCATAAAATAATTGTTTAAAATCACAGAAGTTTGGCCCATTTTGATTCAGACTAGCTTTACCATGAAAAAACTGCCCTTTATCTTTAAGATTGAGTTGAAGTTGGTCTTGAGCTAGATTCAACCTACGTGTTTTGTGACTCTAATTACTGAGAAAATACCTGTTCACTTCCATATCAGTTAATTCATTGAGTTTATCAGTGTACGAATATGGTGAAAATTTTGATACCTGTTTGTAATCGCTTTTATGTTTATGGTAAATTTCCTATACCAGAAAGTGCTCTACTCACATGCTATTCAATTTTGTTCTTTGCAGATAAGTTTCCAAGAGTTTAAAAACAAACTTCTGGAACCAGGCTTAGTGGATCATATAGTTGTCTCTAATAAATCAGTTGCAAAAGTGTATGTGCGTAGCTCGCCACGCGGTCAGACAAGTGAGGAAGTTGTCCAAGGACCTGGTACCCCTGCTCGTGCAAATGGGGGCCAGTACAAATACTATTTCAATATTGGAAGTGTTGAATCTTTTGAGGAGAAGTTGGAGGATGCCCAAGAAGCGTTGGGAATAGACAGTCATGATTTTGTTCCTGTTACATATGTCTCTGAGATGGTTTGGTACCAAGAATTGATGAGATTTGCACCAACACTACTGCTTTTGGGATCCCTCTTGTTTATGGGGCGGAGAATGCAGGGTGGACTAGGTATTGGTGGTTCTGGCGGACGAAGTGGCCGTGGAATCTTCAATATAGGAAAAGCCCAAGTTACAAAAGTAGATAAAAATACAAAGAACAAGGTTGCCTTTTTGTTTCTGTAGTGTTTTCTTGTCATTAATCTGTTGTAATATATTTTCTTAAGCACTCTGTTGCAGGTTTTCAGCAGTACCTGATATTTTAATTGGTACAGATCTATTTTAAAGATGTTGCTGGTTGCGATGAAGCAAAGCAGGAAATCATGGAATTTGTGCACTTTCTCAAGAATCCTAAGAAATATGAGGATTTGGGAGCCAAAATTCCCAAAGGAGCTCTATTGGTAGGCCCTCCAGGCACTGGAAAGACCCTTCTAGCAAAAGCAACTGCAGGGGAATCTGGTGTTCCATTTCTATCTATGGCTGGATCAGACTTCATGGAGATGTTCGTTGGTGTTGGACCGTCAAGAGTCAGAAACTTGTTTCAGGAAGCAAGGCAATGTGCTCCTAGTATAATATTTATTGATGAGATTGATGCAATTGGTCGAGCAAGGGGGCGAGGGGGCTTGTCAGGTTCCAATGATGAGCGTGAGAGTACTCTAAATCAGTTGTTGGTAGAAATGGATGGCTTTGGAACAACTGCTGGAGTAGTTGTTCTTGCTGGCACCAATAGGCCTGATATTTTGGACAAAGCCTTATTAAGGCCTGGTCGATTTGATCGCCAAATCTCTATTGATAAACCTGATATTAAAGGTCGTGACCAAATATTTCAGATATACTTGAAAAAGATCAAACTTGATCATGAACCATCATATTATTCTCAAAGGCTTGCAGCCCTAACTCCAGGGTTTGCTGGGGCAGACATTGCAAATGTTTGCAATGAAGGTGCTCTAATTGCTGCAAGAAATGAGAGTGCACTGGTCACAATGCAGCATTTTGAGGCGGCTATAGACAGAATTATTGGTGGTTTGGAGAAGAAGAACAAGGTAAGTCATTTTTGGCTTGTTCCTTTAGTTTTATGGCATATGATAACTATGTTTCATTCTTAGTAAATAACCATTCCCTCCCCTCTCTTCTCCTCTCCACATTGTCCAAAAATGAAAGAGCAATGCTGCCTAACATGGGCCGGTACAGCATTGTGTCCTCCCTAATTAGGACTCCGGTCATTTCTATGATGGAATTTGTGATGTGCACTTTAGCTAGAGATTTGATGGAACATTTGGAGATAATCATAGCATACCTTGGAAGAGGAAAATACTTAGAAGGCAAACTCTTGTTTTCCATCTTCCTAAACTATAGTATTGGGTTTGGATCTTGTGCGGCTATATGTGGCCCTTATGTTGAGTTAGAACAGTTTATTTCCATTGATCTGGACCTAGTAAATCCCATTTTACCTTCCATTATGCAGGTTTCAGTAGTGTTAATAAAGGTCCAGGTCAAACTTTAAGGTAGCTAAAAGGGTTATTATGTCTTCAAAGAGAATGCTTTGACTTTTAACCTTTAGTGTGTTTCTTTGTATTTGTTCTGTATAATTGGAATTTTGACATCCTTTTGCTTGTCAAACAGGTTATAAGCAAGCTCGAGCGCCGTACCGTTGCCTACCATGAGGCAGGGCATGCTGTTACCGGATGGTTCTTAGAACATGCAGAACCATTGTTGAAAGTGACCATTGTTCCTCGAGGTACTGCAGCACTTGGGTTTGCGCAGTATGTTCCAAATGAAAACCTCCTCATGACCAAGGAGCAGCTTTTTGATATGACCTGCATGACCCTCGGTGGTAGAGCAGCTGAACAGGTATCCATGAAACTTCATTAGTCGTATATTTGGAAGACTTTTATTATATCGTCATTCTCAAGTTCCTCGGAACTTCATTAGTCATCTAATGATATTGTTGGTTAACATGTTCTGGGGTGCAGGTTATGTTGGGGAAAATCTCGACGGGGGCCCAAAATGATCTGGAGAAAGTGACAAAGATGACCTACGCCCAAGTTGCAGTCTATGGTTTCAGTGACAAGGTGGGTCTCCTTTCTTTCCCTCAAAGGGAAGATTCATTTGAGATGTCAAAGCCCTACAGCAGCAAAACTGGAGCCCTTATTGATGGTGAAGTGCGCGAATGGGTGGGTAAGGCGTATGCACGCACAGTTGAACTCGTAGAGGAACATAAAGAGCAAATAGCTCAAATTGCAGAATTGTTGCTTGAAAAGGAAGTTCTTCACCAAGATGACCTGCTCAAGGTGTTGGGGGAAAGACCATATAAACCGGCTGAAGTGACCAACTATGATAGATTTAAGGAAGGTTTCGAAGAGAAAAATGATGAGAAAACAGTGGAGACACCGCTGGTTGGGTCCGAGGATGACGGCTCATCACCCCTTGAGCCTCAGGTTCTGCCTACTTAGTTATTGAGAAAGAAGTTTGTAATTTGTACATTGTAATTGCTTTCCCTTGGAACTTCTGTGCTAACTATTTCACACATTTCATGTATGGTCGAAATCTGTATGATACTTTATTTGTTATTTGGTGACAACGACCACGCGTTTTCCATACAAAAACTATAGATTCAAAAAGTTGGCACTACTGCTCAAGTGCTTTTTTTTTTACTAGGATGTAAATTGTTGTTTAGTTGCTCAAGTTCTGGGAAGATAATTGGTTGCCTATCCCGGAAAGCAACTGCCTTCGGCCATTACAGGTGATTTTCGGGGCAATTCCTAATCTACTGACTTCTTTGATTGAAGTGGATACTGCTACCATGGAGATTGGACTCGGATTTGGATCCTCGTCTGATCCCCTCCCTAGGGTTCTTAGGATCAATGCACGTGTATCGTTGATCAAAAATCATACGGCCACAATTTTTTTCTCTTTTTTTTTAATATATTTTTCATGCAAAACGAGGTTACTTTACTTTTAAAAATATAAAAAACATTTAATTGTAGTCGCACGATTTTTGATCAACAGTTCACATGCGTTGATCCCTAGGATCCCCAGGGAGGGGATCCGACGAGGATCCAAATCCATTGGACTCAATCTCTCGTACTCCTTTCTCGCGTGGCATCTCGCTAAATGATTTTTTTAGTTAAAATGATCTTTAAAATTTGTATAATTCCTCATTTTGGTCCTTAAGATTTGAAATCAATAGAAGTGGTCTTTGAGTTTGACCACCATCAATTATTTTTGTCATTCGGTGAAAAATTATGTTATATGAGGACCAAAATGATGCCATCAATTTAATAAACAAGGCTAAATTGGATTAATGGTCCCTGTGATGATAGGTTAATCGGATGATAACGCCCGTGCTGAAAAAATTTGGATTTAAACCCACCGAGTAAAGTTTCAGGATTCAAACCCAAAATTAACTGACGTCAACTTCCGTTAACATTTCCACCTTGGTTCTTTGATTCTGCCTCTCCCCACCTGGTTCTTTGCATCCCTTCTCTTTCTCATTTTTTCTCCAGACCTTCGGCCTGGAGCAAACCAATGGATATTTATCTTCATCCCAGCACCCAAATCATAGAGTCATAGCTATAGTTATGGAGCATATGAGTTAATTAACTAATCATTTTCAGCTCCAAAATAAAAGAAATTAAGAAATCGGAGTCATGAGGGCATAGAACAGAAGACAAAGAAACTAATCGTAGCGAAGTTGCCAAGGCAGCGATATACAACAAGATTGCAGATTTATCCATAGACGACGAACAACAATAACCAGTCGAATTGACGAACACGAGAAGAAGAAGGAGGGGAAAAGAAGGGTAAGAGAAGATAATACATGGGTGAGAGAAGGGCAAAATTTAAAAAAACGAAAACCAAGAAAAGGATATGAATATTTATGAGAAACAAAATCTGGGATTAGAAGAAATGTAGGAAAAGAAAAAGGTTTGAAATTTTGGGGTTGGAGTTGATGATGGTGGTGACAAAAATATCTTGGAAAAAAAAAATAGAGAGAGGAAAAGTAGCTCTTAAAATTGAAAATTCTAACGGAAATGTTAATTTTGGACTTAAATCCTAATGAAACTTCACTACGAGGGTTTAAATCCGAATTTTTTCACCATGAGGATTATCTTTCTATTAACCTATTACCACGGGGAACATTAATCCAATTTAGCCAATAAACAATGAACCAACATGATTTGACAAAAATTGAGGGTATTTTGATCATTTTGATCATTGTTTAATGAATATTTTTACGAAATAACCAAAATAATTGATGAATGACAAACTCATGGACCATTTACATTGATTCTAAATCTCAGAGATCAAAGTGAGGAATCATGCCAATCCTAGAGACTATTTTAACTATAAAACCTTTTAATAACCATGTCCCCAACTCTCTTTTCTACCCTTCCTACAAGGTTGTATTTTTGCAGGCATCTACTTGCACACGCCACAAGTCCTCTCTGTCAGGAACATGAAGAATCAATGGAGCATCTACCTTGTTTTAGGAATCTGTAGTCAAACTCGGATTTGAGAGATCCCAATGTAGCCTGCTAAAGGATTTTTTGAATCCATGCAAATCCTAATGTAGTCAACAAAAAGATTTTAAAAGACTTTAAAATCTTAGTGTAGTTACTTGAGATTTTGATCAACACTGTTAGAGTCCATCCAAATAGAATCTCACCTCACCCTCTAGGATTTCAAATCCAACGACCTCCCAACTCATTTTTCCTCTCATTGTCTGCCAGCCACTTTGTTTTCTTTATCTTCTTCCTTCATCTCTGCATTTTTTCTTCAATTCGTTGATGGGTCACATTATTTGTGAAAGATGATGCTGGGTCGCATCGCATCATTTCTCATATATAGTGTAGCTGGGTCCCAATTTTCACATCTTCACTTTTTTTTCCCGCACGGCGATCAACTCTCGTTCTTCATCCTTTTTAGTTTTTCCACTAATCTTTGGGGATTTTTCCGAGTCTTTTCTTCCTTTCTAATTTCATGGAATGATGGTGTTGATTTCACCATTTGTAATATTTATTTTGTAATTTTTATCGGAACGTCGAACAGAGATTTGGTGGGTAATGGTGAATTTCCCAAGGGTGGCGGTGGCGGTGGCGGTTGGAGTGCAAAAGTGGTGAAGAGCAACGGTTGCTCTCGTCTGTCTGTTGGGTTACCATCTCCATTGCCTTAATGTTATAATCGTGATTATCTTAATCATAGTATTGGTTATTAATTAAGGGATTACTTGTATTTAGGGAGAGTTTGTTAGAATATGCCAGCTGGCAGTGGGCTCTATGATGTTATAAATGGACCAAATTATAAAGAAAATGTTCTAGGGATCTCGTAATTATTTCCGTTCATCGTACATCGTACGGTCATAAATTATTTAAAATTTTAAATTAAATATAAATAGTATCTAACGAAAACTAACCGCATAATATACGATAAACGGACATGATTACATGATCCTTCGAATCCCAGGATTCCAAAAAAGGGATCCAGTGAGATCATTTTCCAAATTATAAGTGCTTTGCCCAACGGCTATATGAATAAACAAATATATTACAAAAATATACTGGAGCTTGTTCTCCTTCTTCTCTACTCATGCATAAGCCATGGTTCACCTGCATTAACAGGTCAAGGTTGAATTAAGATCTAACACCTAAAAATCCACCAAAATCATAAACCAAATCAACAGAAATCCCTAAAAATCCATATGGAATTTGTACGAGTTTTCCAATCCCACAGCCGCCGTGCTTAGAACTGTCAGTTCGGTGTCAGATTTTGCCAGCATTTGTCGTCCGCCCCAGGCACCTCAAAGTCCTTGTGTTAAAATTCATGGATATCATTTGACCAGAAAGAAAATACGCACAAACTAATTTAACAAAACGAAAAAAAAAAAAAAATCTGATTTTTCGAAATGGGTTCATCGAATCAGCTCGAGAAGTAAAATTTCAGTCTAAACGATTCTGGGAAGCAAAATTTCAGTCTCTCTCCCCGCCTAAGACATCAAAGTTATGATTTTTACTCGGATTGGTCGCTCCGTTTCTCGTTCTTCTCGCTTCGGGGTAAGCTTCCCAATCTCTTTTTTTTTTTTTTTTTCGATTTTTAATTTAATTTTTGGTTTAAATTTAGGAAAACTAATGAAAATGGCTTGAAAACTTTGAGTTTTAATGATAAGGACAAAATAAAGGGTAAAGTGAATAGTACCAGGATTGACTTTTTAGTGTAAAAATGTGGTTTTTCGTTAAAGTAAACAGTACCGGGAGCTTTTCGTTAAAGTTCCCTTTAAATTTTGATGGTAGAATTTGTTGAATGGAAGAGGGCGATCGGCGGGTCTGATTGGGAATGGAGGGATTTCTGGAGTTCCCCGTTGTGGTTCGTATCTGGGTCCGGTCGACGGGGAATTAAGGTTTTTGAGGTCGTATTTTGCTGCGTCAATAGCAGCCCACAAAGCCCGCGTCTCGGATTTCAGTTGCATTCTTGCAAACCCTAAACTTTGCCTACACTTTTCGAGTGAAACCCCAAAGAAAAAGAGTAAGCAATTTGCAGTTTTATTTGACCTTGTATTGTGGGTTTGCTAGTTATTTTTGTTTCAGCTAAATGAATGTAATAATTGCTGTGATTTGTGGGGAAATATAGTGGTTTGATCGAGTATGTGCTTGCGTTGCTCTTGGTGTTGCAGATTCTGAGAACTTCCATCCCAAGGAAAAGAAGGAAATTCCAAAAGGGGATGAGCAGAAAACGAAGCCGAAAGGTTAAGTTGCTGTCTTTTCAGCTGCAACGGGGCTTATTTTCGATACATTTTCACTGTTATTATCGTTTGAATTGAATGTTTATCATAGAGTTCGACTCTCACCGTTCCCTACCTAGGCTTAGATACCCGAACAACAAGACGCATTTTGTAGTAAGGTGGACATTTTATTTAGTAGGAGTTTGTCACTGACACTGATAAAGTACTGCAGTTTTTCTGTGTGGAAACTTGATCATATGAGACTCATCTGGGTCTGATAGAAAATAGTGTCAAATTTAAAAGTCTAGGTTCTATGTTAGAATTTTATACTGAAAGCTTGCCTGATTTAAAGCTGTCTATGTTAGTATTTGATTATGCATTTATAATGTCTTACGTTTCTATTAACTTTAATATTATTTCAATTTCAGACGAATCAAAGACGGATAATCAGAAATTTTTCTTGAGACACGCTCCCAATTTAATCATCCTGCTATCAGCCATTATGATATTACTCTCCATCTTGCTAATTTATGTTGTTAAACAAATAGAGGTTAGTGTATACACAAATATGTGATCTCTTTTTTTTTTTTTTGAATTGTCTTGCTATATTTGTTTCTCCATTTTAGGTTTTGTGAATGGTGTTTATGTAACTACCGGCCCATATCGTATGATTTCTTGTTTTGATGTGATATAAAGCCGAGTCGACTCTAAGGAAAATGTTTTAGAGTCCAACTATTTCCACGTTGAATCCCATACATGCATTGAATCCCCTACATGCGAGAAGAGAGAATTGGGAAGGTCGTTTGGTTGCTTAACATCCAAATCAGTAAATTCATTAAAATGTATCTGTGACCCTAATGTTTTGTGACCCTAATTACTGAGAAAATACCCGTTCACTTCCAAATCAGTAAATTCATTAAAATGTATCTGTGTAAGAATCTTGTGAAATATTTGAGTCCTGTTCGTAATCGCTTTTTTGGTATCCCTCTGTTTTATGTTTATGGTAGTTTCTCTATACCAGAAAGAAGTTCGCTACTCACATGATCTGCAATTTTGTTCTTTGCAGATAAGTGTGCAAGAGATGCAGATAAGTTTCCAAGAGTTTAAAAACCAACTTCTGGAACCGGGCTTAGTGGATAATATAGTTGTCTTTGATAAATTAATTGCACTCGTGTATGTGCGTAGCTCGCCACGCAGTCAGACAAGTGAGGAAGTTGTCCAAGGGCCTGATATCCATGTTCCTGCAAAACGGGGCGAGTGCAAGTACTTTATTATTGGAAGTATTGAATCTTTTGAGAAGAGGTTGGAGGATGCCCAGGAAGCATTGGGAATAGACAGTCATGATTTCGTTCCTGTTGCATATGGCTCTAATATGGTTTGGTTCCTAGAATTGATGAGATTTTTACCTACACTACCTATACTACTGCTTTTGGGAAGTTTCTTGTTAGTGGAGTGGAGAACGCACCGTGGACTAGGCATTGGTGGACGAAGTGCCCGTGGAATATTCAATATAGGAAAAGCCCAAGTAACGAAAGTAGATAAAAATGATAAGAACAAGGTTGGATTTTTGTTTCCCTGGCATTTTCTTGTCATTAATCTGTTGTAATATATTTCCTTAAGCACTCTGTTGCACGTTTTGCAGCACTACCTGATATTTTTAATTGGTACAGATCTATTTTAAAGATGTTGCTGGTTGCGACGAAGCAAAGCAGGAAATCATGGAATTTGTGCACTTTCTAAAGAATCCTCAGAAATATGAGGATTTGGGAGCCAAAATTCCCAAGGGAGCTTTATTGGTAGGGCCTCCAGGCACTGGAAAGACCCTCCTAGCAAAAGCAACCGCGGGGGAATCTGGTGTTCCGTTTCTATCTATATCTGGATCAGACTTCATGGAGATGGTAGTTGGTGTTGGACCGTCTAGAGTTAGAAACTTGTTTCAGGAAGCAAGGCAATGTGCTCCAAGTATTATATTTATTGATGAGATTGATGCAATTGGTCGAGCAAGAGGGCGTGGTGGCTTCTCAGGTTCCAATGATGAGCGTGAGAGTACTCTAAATCAGTTGTTGGTAGAAATGGATGGCTTTGGAACAACTGCTGGAGTAGTTGTGCTTGCTGGCACCAATAGGCCTGATATTTTGGACAAAGCCTTATTAAGGCCTGGTCGATTTGATCGCCAAGTCTCTATTGATAAACCCGATATTAAAGGTCGTGACCAGGTATTTCAGATATACTTGAAGAAGATCAAACTTGATCATGAACCATCATATTATTCTCAAAGGCTTGCAGCCCTGACTCCAGGGTTTGCTGGGGCAGACATTGCAAATGTTTGCAATGAAGGTGCCTTAATTGCGGCAAGAAATGAGAGTGAACTGGTTACAATGCAGCATTTTGAGGCGGCTATAGACAGAATTATTGGTGGTTTGGAGAAGAAGAACAGGGTTAGTCATTTTTGGCTCGTTCCTTTAGTTTCATGGCATATGTTAACTTTGTTTCATTTCTTAGTAAATTTACCATTCCCTTCCCTCTCCTCTTCTCTCCTCAATGTCCAAAAATGAAAGAGCAATGCTGCATAATACGGGCCGGTACAGCATTGTGTCCTCCCTACCCAGGACTCCTGTCATTTTTATGATGGAATTTGTGATGTGCACTTTAGCTTGAGATTTGATTGGAATCTTTGGAGATAATCATTGCATACCTTGTAAGAAGAAAATACTTGGAAGGCAAACTCTTGTTATCCATCTTCCTATTGGGTTTGGATCTTATGCGGCTATAGCTGGCCCTTATGTTGAGTTAGAACAGATTCTTTTCCATTGATCTGGACCTTGTAGATCCCACTTTACCTTCCATTATGTAGGTTTCAGTAGTGTTAATAAAGGTCCTGATCAAGCTTTTAGGTAGCTAAAAGGGATTTTATGTCTTAGAAGAGAATGCTTTGACTATTAACCTTAAGTGTTTTTCTTTGTTTTTGTTCTATATGATTGGAATTTTGACATCCTTTTGCTTGTCAAACAGGTTATAAGCAAGCTCGAGCGCCGTACTGTTGCCTACCATGAGTCAGGGCATGCTGTTACTGGCTGGTTCTTAGAACACGCAGAACCGTTGTTGAAAGTGACCATTGTTCCTCGAGGTACTGCAGCACTTGGGTTTGCCCAGTATGTTCTAAATGAAAACCTCCTCATGACCAAGGAGCAGCTTTTTGATATGACCTGCATGACCCTCGGGGGTAGAGCAGCTGAACAGGTATCCAAAAAACTTTATTAGTCTTATTTTTTGAAGACGTTTATGATGCATTATGTTTCTTAATTCTTCTCATTCTTCAATCGTCATTCTCAAGTTCCCTGGAACTTCATTAGTCATCTCATGATGTTGTTTGTTTAACATATTCTGGGGTGCAGGTTATGTTGGGAAAAATATCTACGGTAGCCCAAAACGATCTAGAGAAAGTGACAAAGATGACATACGCCCAAATTGCAGTGCACGGTTTCAATGACAAGGTGGGTCTCCTGTCTTTCCCTCAAAGGGAAGAATCATTTGAGATGTCAAAGCCCTACAGCAGCAAGACTGGAGCCCTTATTGACAGTGAAGTGCGCGAATGGGTGGGTAAGGCTTATGCACGCACAGTTGAACTCGTAGAGGAACATAAAGAGCAAGTAGCTCAAATTGCAGAACTGTTGCTTGAAAAGGAAGTTCTTCACCAAGATGACCTGCTCAAGGTGTTGGGGGGAAGACCATATAAACCTGCTGAAGCGACCAACTACGATAGATTTAAGGAAGGTTTCGAAGGGAAAGGTGATGAGAAAACAGTGGAGACCGCTGGTTGGGGCCGAGGATGATGGCTCATCGCCCCTTGAACCTCATGTTCTGCCTTCTCAGGGGCTAAAAAATTGGAACTAAATGCTCAAGTGCTTTTTCTATTAGGATGTAAATTGTAGTTTAGTTGATCAAAGATTGTGACACAAACACCAGATTCTCACGTTACCGGCAAATCAACCATAATGTGACTAATGTCCCTGAGCAATTTAAAATGTTCCCATCATTGTTAAAGTTACTTGTAACACCTCACTAAAGTTAACATGCAAAATGCTATTGGTTCTACTCTAGATGAGTAAGTGAAAAGTTTTTAACGTGATTGTAACACTGTCTCATAATTCTATAAATTTGTTTATATTACAACATGCATATATATTATTACACCACAAAATAAATATTGATAATATTACACCTCGTGAGGACATATGGTAGAACTTCATCTGTGTTCGAATCCTACGAGAGTATTCCAGTAGAAAAATGTATCCTTGTGTTTGTGATATCCGTCTTGAACTGCACCCAAAAAAGCTTTCATTGTGACATACACGCTATTTTATTCTGTATGCTGATTGTTGAGGCTCCGATACGATGCTTCTCTCGCTTTCACCGTTGATATATATACACGGAGAAACGCTTTCCCTTCTTTTTCTTTGTTCAAACGCTTTTCCTTCTTTTAGCTGTTAACTTTTGAATGTGTGTGGTGGCCAGTGGCATCTATCCATATATATAGTGGAGATATTTAGCATATATGTTTCTACTTTCTGGATGTTGAGTGTCTAAGAAGGTGGCATGCTGTGACATTCTTGTGGATTTCACCATAAATATGCTTCTACCCCTTCAATATTTTCTCAACTCAAACCTCTCATCTGCACCTTCTCTCTCTCTCTCTCTCTCTCTCTCTCTCTGAGGTAATTTCTCGCTTTCTTTTGAAGCTTTGATTTTAGTGCTAAAATGGAATTCCAAAACCAGTTTCAGGAGGCGGACCAGATGCCAAAATATGAGTGCCTTCTCTTTGGTTAGTGTTTTCCCTTTTTAATCTCATATATCATGCCCCTTAAGTTACCTGATCTAATAGCTTGTTAACTTGGATGTAGCCAAGTTGATTAGCAGTGTGGTGTCCCCCTGTGCACTCGTGTTTGAATTCCCCTCGTAGTATAAATTAGATTGTAATATGGCTCGAACAGGAAAAAAAAACAACAACAAAAAATCTGTTTTGTCGCAGACCTTGATGATACCCTTTATCCCTTGAGTTCTGGATTGTCTGATCAATGCACCAAGAATATTGAAGGTACAGCATAATCCATCAATGCCTCCATCCAAACACGCACTTTTCATCAGTTAATTTCATCAGTTATTTAGTGAAATTGAATATTTATCTGATTATTCTTAATTATCTTTTTTCAGAATTCATGGTTCAAAAATTAGGCATCGAGGAAAAAAGAGTCACTGAGGTGAATCAAGTATTGTACAAGAATTATGGAACATCAATAGCTGGTCTCAAGGCCATTGGTTATAATTTTGACAACGAGGACTATCATAGGTATCAAATTTTTTCATTACAACAAACCAAGTCATATCTCACTAAGTGGGTCGTTTGTATGAATCCTACAACGTCATGATGATCGGTTTTGCATCAAGTCTTCCGTTAGCGTACTCCATATCTTTTCTTAAAATGTCTTTCAAAGTCTTCTTAGATCTTTCTCTACCTCTTTTGCCCAGTGTCTTCGTACCAAAATTTTTCATTACCTGTTTTTATTTTCCATCATTATTATATGATGCAATAATCTCACAAATTCCCAAATATTACAGTTTTGTTCATGGAAGATTGCCCTATGAGAATCTAAGACCTGACCCTGTCCTAAGGACTCTATTGCTGAGCCTGCCATACAGGAAACTTGTAAGCTACATACAAGTCACCTTTAAATAAGAAATTGATTGTAATGAATTACTAATTAGCTTTTATATGTAATATTTCTCTGATTATGTTTTTTTTTGTTTTATGCATTAAACAGATTTTCTCAAATGGAAATAACGTCCACGTGGCAAAAACCCTAAGCAAGCTTGGATTGGATGACTGCTTTGAAGGAGTTATTAGCTTTGAGACTCTGAATCCCACTAAAGATGATGAAGGATGCAGCACAAGTGTTTTTGATCGTTCTTGTTTATTTGATGCTGGAATATCAGAGCTTCCAGCGACTCCTATTGTTTGCAAACCATTTGCAAATGCATATGAACAAGCCTTTAAAAAAGCCAACATTAACCCTCAAAGAACTGTAAGAAACTAACGTAGAGTCTGTTTGGTAGTGCTTTTAATTTAAAGTGCCCAAAGTGCTACTAGACAATCCGAAGCTTTTTTAGTGAGTTGTGATAAAATTCTTGTTGTGCTTCTAAACAAAGTGCTTCGAACACAAGCGTCTCGAGTAAAGCCTTCTAACAAGGAATTTTTTTAATTAATTTTGCAGATATTCTTTGATGATAGCCTGAGGAACATACAAACTGGAAAGAACATGGGTCTCCATACTGTATTGGTAAGTTGTAAACACAAAATAAGATTTTTCAGTTCATCTTAATTGCTAATTAATATAAAACATTCCTAAACCCTATATATATATATATATATATATATATTTTTGTATGTATAGGTGGGCAGCTCCAACAGAACAAAGGGTGTGGATTATGCAATAGAGAGCATCCACAATATCAGAGAAGCACTTCCAGAACTTTGGGAAATCGACAATAAAAATACAGACACGGCTAGAACTTTGTCAGGGAAGCTGGCAATGGAGAAATCAGTGACTGCCGAGGCTTAGCTTTTTACCTTCAATTTCAAAGCTCCTTTGAGCAAATGTAAAAGCATGGAGGCTAGCACTTGGCTGTATACTATTATGTTTATCCTAATAATTGTATGATCAAATTATCAATGATAAAAAGCAAGCTTCTTTCTGTAAATTTTTTCCTTTGCTTTCTGATTTTTGCAACCACATTACATACAGCTACCAAAATAAATACCATAGCCACTGAATAATAATACATAAACCTACCCAAATAAATCTAAAAAAAACCTGGATAACAATTGATGTGAATTTGTTTATAATCGATCCTTTGGTCCCCTTTATTTCTAACAATTAAACTTTGGGTATATTGTAAGGGTGAAATTATTTGAAACACACAAAATTGACAGAGTCTACTATAAGGTAAGACTCACGTGCAATGGTAAGGCTCACATGTATTTGCGATTGTGTCAATGTTGTGTATTCAAAGAATTTTACCTATATTATAATATATATGCTAATAATACTAAGGTGGTTTGGACATGTTGACCGAATACCTACAGATACTCTAATTAGAAGATGCGATTGTGAGACAGAGACTCAGGCCAAAATGGGTAGAGGAAAACCCTAAGAAGACTTAGAATGAGACTCTAAAAAAAAATATGGAGTACTTGGAGTTAACGGAAACTTCGCCTAATATTGAGTACATTGAGTTCTAGAATTTATACAACCGGCCCCACTTAATGGGATAAGACTTTGTTGTTGTTGCTGTAAATATACTAATGCCATATTACCATATTTAAATGAAGACACCCTTTTTTTTTATTTGTGTGTCAAAGTTAATAAGAAACTTAAAACACAATTAAACAAGCATCCATCATGATATTATATTTAAGCCATTTGCTAATGTTGGGAAGACTAAATTTGTAAACAAAATTTTGTAAACTAAAGGATATGAATGTTGATAATTGGATTATTACTTAAGTGTTGATAAACGTGCTCATTTTCTATTGGTGACACATTATTTAGTTGTCTACAAATTTAAACTCCCTACCATTACTCCATCAATTAATATGTGGGTAATGCTAGGAAAACTAAATATGTAAACTAAATTTTGTAAGCTAAATGATATGAAATTGATGATTGGATTATTACTTATGTGTTGATTAACATACTTATTTCTTATTGGTGATTGTTTGCAAATTTAATCTGCAAATTTTGTTTACCTAGCAGTATCCTTAATATATAAAATTTGTGTATAAAGCTGACCTTCACTACGTGAAAGACTGACGATGATATACACAAAATCAAAATGGTTTCACAAAAACGTAAAATGAATAAGAAGTGAATATTCCGTATAAGCATAAACAACATGCGCATTAAGATCGTCATGTTATATCTATAACACTATGTTTGGATGAAGAAATTTAAGATTACCAAAGAATTTTAAAATGACGAAAATTGAATTGACGGGATTTTATTTTTTAGAATTTGTGAATTTCTTGTTTGGTTAGCCTAAAAGAACAATGGAATTGAATACGGAATTTGTTATTTTTAAGCTCTCAATCATAGAAATTGGGAAATGACACCTATGTATATAGAATTTAAACTTACGAATTGGAGGTCCCAAATTCCAAGTTTTTTTCCACGTGGAAATTCTAAATTTCTATGTTTATGAATTCAAACAAGAGAATTCGTGCATGTCAATTTACAAATTTTGACTTTTATCCAAATTCCAAGTTTATTTCCCTCATCCAAACATAGCGTAAAAGTTGATGGAATACTCTCTCGTAGAGGTTAAATCCTAACGTGGTAAGAATCCTTGGAAGAAAATCTTTCTATTGTTGGAGGATTTTTTTTTTTTTTAATTTCGTAAGGTTTTATGTTGTAATCTCTACTGAAAAAAGCCTTCTATGTTTGGAGGATATTTAAGTTACACAAGGTGTTGTCTGTTGTGCCTAACAAGAAAAGATTATTTGAGTCACGATTCTTCCATAAAAAAAAGTGCCAAATACTTCTTAGGACAGTTTAGCATTGCTATGTTAAAAAAAATGATTTTGTTGTGTTTTAAAAATAATCAGCTGTAAAATAAAGCAGCTAAGTGTTTGATAAACTGTATTTTTTAAAATGTTGTGAATATGAAAAGCAGTGTCAAAACATTTGATAAGTTTTAATGTTAAAATTATATACTTGTATGTAATGACAAAAATGTACATGGGAGTGGGGTGGTGGTAATGACAATAGTGGTGGGGATAGTGGCGGTGATGGTAGCTGCCATAGGGGTGTGGTGGTGGTGCTAATAATAAGGTGTGGTGGTTGTGTTGTAGAGGCAGTAGTGGTGGCAAAGGTAGTGGTGGCGATTGCAGCGTTCTTGGTAGTGGTTTGTGATGACGGCAGTGGTGTAAGGCTAGTGGCATGTAGTCATAGATGGTGGGGACGATGATGGTGGTGATGGTAATGGTTGTACCAATGGCAGGTTGGCGGTGATGATCAATTGTAAGGGTAAGGTGGTGGTGTCAATAGTGGGGTGTGGTGGTTAGGGTGCAGAAGTTAAAATTGTGGTAGAGGCGGTGGCATTAGTGATGATTTTGGCGACAGTGACGATAACGATGGTTTTAGTAATGACAATAGTTGTGGTTGCGGTGATAGTGGTGGTAGTTTGTGGTTGTGATAGTGGGTGGCCACGATGATGGTGGTGGTATTGACGACGATTGTGGCAGTGGCGACGAAAATGGTGGGGGAGGTGACGACGATTGGGATGTTGATGGCAACGGTATCAGTAGTAATGACGATGGTGATGAAAAATTAGTAGTTGAAGTGGTAAGCGGTAGCAATCACTTTATTCTTCAAGAGAAAAAATGTAAGCAAATTTTTTTTAATATTAATGAGGGTGTTACAAGAACTAAAACTATTCACTAAAAACTGAACTCCGTTTTTTATAGTAACCTACAACTTTAAAAACAATGAAGTTGCTTTTAAAAAATAATGTCTGAAGGGCATTCTTTAAAAACACGTAAGATATTTTATATTTATCAGTGAAGCAGGTTTTTAAGGAAAAAAAAAAAACTAAAAAAAGTGGTTTCCTTGCTGCCCAAAAAACCTAAAATTGAACTACTTATTTTATTTTTCTCATATTTCTCGTTTTTTTATGGGACGTGGCTAACATGCAACGATAAAAAAGACGCATGATAACAAAAATATAAAAAATAAAACAAACTAAAACGTCCATGGTGATATGCGACACTTGTCCAGTTAAACGCGATTTCTGGGAGACGCTCAGGTAACATATGTACGTGTCAGGCTCCAATAGGGCCACATAATGAGGTCAGATCTTTTACTGGCTTTGGTTGAATAAATTGAATTAATATTTAAAAAACGGTTGTGTGCCTATTTAAACACACTTCCACACTTCCGCGTCTTCTTCTATTCTTTCACTTTACCCTACTTAAAGTCCTCTCTCTCTCTCTCTCTCGCTCTCTCTCCTCTCTCTCTGGCTCTGCAACGTCGGTTATTCGGATCAAGTAACGCTCATTTCTCTAGTCTATTCCTACTTTGTTAGGGTTTTCTTGCATTGGATGTTTTTTTTTCGTATTTGCAATTAATGGTTAATGTAGGAGAAACCAAATATTGGGTTTTCTATTTTGATTGTGATGAAGCATTGTTTTCTCACTTAGAAATTTAGAATGGTTAATGTTGGAGAAATCAAATTTTGGGGTTGCTTTTACCATTGAAATCTTACTTAAATGTCTAGACTTTCTGGGATTTCAGTCATCTGCTTTACTTTAATTGTGTTTTTGGTAAATGGAAACTGCCTTTTGCTTTTGATGTTTTGTTGTTATGTAATTGTATATATGCTTAATGATTTTTTCGATTCGTCTTCTTTGAAGCCTTGTAGGTAAAGATGGAAAATCAGGTTCAGTATCACCAATATGAGTGCCTTCTTTTTGGTAAGTTTTTTTTTCTTTTTTAACACAGGTTTTTTTATTTGAAATTTATGGTTTTCGAAGGCGGATATAAGAACTAGTTGCTTTGATTTCCAGATCTAGATGACACCCTTTACCCTCTGAGTTCTGGAATTTCAGTGCAAATCACTGCGAATATTAAAGGCGAGTTGGGCTTTGTGATTCTGGATTTTAAAACTTTGCTGTGAAATGTTCATTGTTTTAGTGTAAGTTTTATAAATTTTTGCTGTAGAATATATGATTCAAAAGCTTGGCATTGACGAAAGTGAAGTTCCGGAATTGTGTATTTCTTTGTACAAGGATTATGGAACAACAATGGCTGATCTTAAGGTATGGTCATTGCGATACCTTCAACCTTTATTTATAGTTTCTGAAAGTATTTTAATTAAGGCAGATCAGAATGGCAATTGAACATGGTTTTTGTTTTTTATTCCTGATTTCCAGGCTAAGGGCTATAACTTCGATTGTGATGACTTTCATAGGTACCAAATGCCTCACCTTACTTTGTGCTCTTGTCATTTACGACACCCGTGTGATCTTAATTTTTTGAAAAAATTACTTTTGTAGTTTTGTTCATGGGAGGTTACCATATGAGTTGCTTCATCCTGATCCTGTTCTGAGGGGTCTTTTACTTAGTCTGCCTGTCCGGAAAGTTGTAAGTTTTATTAATCCAGAAATGCACTCAGATGTTGTCTTTGAGGAAAAAGAAAAGGGAAATTTCATTACATTAATGCTTGCTTCTCATGTTATGTTGGTTATTCTGTGTAGATTTTCAAGAATTCGGATAAGGCACATGCGGCTACTGTGCTCAAGAGGCTTGGAATTGAGGACTGCTTTGAGTTGGTTATATGCTTTGAGACACTGAATCCCACACCAACAATGCTGATGATTCTGTTGGTGCAGGTGTAGCTGAACACATTGAACAACCAAATACTGGTGCGGTAATACCAAAGACCCCAGTTGTCTCCAAACCATTTGAACAGGCATATGAAGAAGCTTTTAAGATAGCAAACATCGACCCTCAAAGAACGGTAAGATCTTTTACCTATTTACTAAGGGAAATTGACTGATCCATAAGTCTCATAAGTTGGCAGGTTACACTTTAACATAATGTGGGGTAATTCTGTTTCTTATCGCCATTTATTCTAGCTTTATGTGAGTAGTTTTCTAAATGTCTACTTTTACTTGTTTTCCGCACTGTATTGATTTTATGATTTCGGTTTCCTTTCCAGTTATTCTTCGACGATAGCATTCGGAATTTACAAACTGCAAAGCAGTGTGGCCTCCACATGGTATTGGTAAGCTACAAATACAAAATTTGAGCAATTGTAATATTGCAGTTTTTGAAAAATGATCTTGGAATATCATCCTCACAAAATATCGTTTATCAAAATGGTTGTAGGTTGGCACCTCTCACCGAACTAAAGGCGTGGACCATGCACTTGAGAGCATCCATAATATGAAGGAAGCACTGCCAGAACTGTGGGAAACCAGCACTGTGGAGTCTGAAAATGTCCGGAATTCACGAGAGATTGCAATTGAGCAACTGGTAGTAGCTTAGCCTACCTGTAAGTCATCTGAACGGTTGATTACCAACACACAGCTTCTTTACGTTCTACCATATCAAGCATAGAGAAGGAAATAGCTTGTGGTGGAGCGCCGGAAACACCAAACGGCTGATGAGTTGTCGATATTTTCATGTAATTTTTACCTTAAAATTGTAGAAGTGTCTTAGATGTGGTAAGCTTGATATAGCACTACTTAGCATTGTTTTGTCTAATGCATGCTGGAAAGACCCTTCTTTATATTATAATAAGATTATATTTACCATGTTTATATTGATCACAATTTTGACAATAATTCAGGTTAATTGACTCTTTGAGTAAAAGGTGTTTATTATACAAGAGTTTTTACCATAAGAAAACGAACAGAAAATTGATCGATGCATCTCTTTCCCTTTAATTGAATACAAGGATTAAGTAATTTCCTGATCGATGTAGAAGAAAACACGAGTGCTAACTTTTTTTTAGTATATCAATATTTTTACACTTGAGGGATAGAGAGTTCGGTTAAACCACACAATGAGTAACTTAATTTGGTATCAAATTCGTCATCCACGAAATTCTAACCTAAGAAATGATAACTAAGAGAATGAACGGTTTCGAAAATAAACTTTACAAATGGGTGAACAAAGAGGTGCACCCAATGGGCGGGCACAATTGTTATTGTCAAATGTATGCCGCTTTCTTTCCTTTTTTGTTTCTTGCCATCTGTCAGCTTAAACCTTCGTACATAAAGTTTCCTAATTAATTAAGGTTAGTATTATCGCAACTAAATTTATGTTTTCCTAGTTAGTTAAGATACTTTTATGCTTTAGTACTATTTAAGCACTTGTTCGAGTTGTAATTTAGGACCATCCAAAGTTTAAGTCGATCAAATTAACTCGATCGACAATTGTTACTTGTAAAATTACAACAACGATGATCTTAACTAGCCAGCTTAAGAAGCTTCAGAGACATCATCATCCATGGCAGTGGCAGCCATGATCACCACCTGTCTTTCCTTTATTTTTGGTCTGGACTCATGTTTCTCCTTCGTGCCATCAGCTCTATTCGCATACCAGACATTATCGACGCTCGACGAAAATCCCTACATTGAGTGGCCGTGGCCATGGCCCGGAGAGGTTCCACCCGCCGGTTTTGATAACTATTACTAGTGTTCCATGCTTCCACGCTTCCAGCTGCATGTTCTAGTTCAACTAGCTAGTAAACTACGTAAATTCTGTGTCCTGCATAAGACATTACTTGATGTTTATGTGATAAAATAGCTTAAGCAGTGTCTTAGATTTCTTTGTACGTATATAGAGTTTTCTCGTATATGAAAAGAGAAAGACTTGCTTCGCAAAGGTTCAAAATACTTCGTGGGTTATTCACATAATTTTTATTTTCATGATCAAAACCATTTATATTATAAGTCATTTTGCAAAGATCATCTCTACAAAAAATTAATTAAAACTAAAATTGTTTAGTCATCACACTGTATAAAAACAAATGAAGCGTATTACCAAAGCAAATACGATTAACTCGATAAGATATTCCTTGTATTCATCCTCTGTGCTGTTTACAGAATCTGGTTCTTTGGGTTATAGTTGACAACTTCAATATCTCTTTTTGAGTTCCTACCAATGGTTTTTTGTGAATCTGTACGACTTTTGTTCTTCTCTTACGTATTAACGAATATTCGATTGATTGGTACGGGGTTATTGACAAAAAAGATTTGTCTAAGTCACTTCCTTTCTTTTTTCCAAGTTTCTTCTCGAAATATGGGTCTAGTTTATTAATATGTTCCAAAAAACCCTATTTCAATACATTTAACTACGAATTTAGTAAAAAGCATTACAAAATATCTATTTGTTTGCTACAATTTATTGACTAACTGATCTTTGTTTTAATTGATTTTTTGCAGTGATGATCTTTACAGAATAATTTATAATATAAACAGTTCCGATTATAAGCACAAAATTATGTGAATAGGTCAATAAGTATTTTGAGAAGGAACTCCTCCAAACTAGCTAAGCTCTTCTCATAGGAAAGTTGATGATATTATACATGGAATTTCGACAAAAAAAATGCATGGAAATGTGAATTTTGAATACATATAATAAACTTCATGTCACTTTTGAGAATTTTCCAAGCATCTTTATCCTTGCAAATATTGATTTATTTTTTGGGAATTGTTATTAGTACTAAAAAAATCTCATTCTACATTCCAAACTTTCTATATTAAGAAAGAAAAATACATTTGTGAGGAGTGTAGAATAAGATTTTTGGAGTGCCAATAACATTTGCCAATTTTTTTTTCTTAATATTACAACAATTTTGAGTTTAAATCTCTGCACCTCCCCCCTTTTAATTAAACGTAAGGATTATTCAAATTAAGCAACTAGTTACTACGAACTTGGCTGATCTCCTGAGCATAAAAAAGCAATAAAGAACGGATGAGATTTAAATGAATAAAATTTGGTTAAATCTTAACCGTTCATTCGTGAAAAATGACCTAGGTAGGGGAATCATGTCAACTACCCCACCTTAATTATGAGAAATTAATCAATGTCGTGGTCACATAATCACGTGGTGTCGTGTCATTAAAATGCACATTAATCAACTTAATAATATTGCCATTAATTAATTTCATGAGAAATTACATTTTATCATCTTAACTTTGGATCACATAACAAACTCATATATCATCTTTTAAACATTACAATGTCATACAACTTGCGGATTCGTTGCAATGTCAGACCTTCGTTAGTCAATTCGTCAAATTGACCATTACATGATGACATGACAAATGCCATATTTTTGTTGATGTGGACGCCAACTTTGCACTATGCGAATAAAAAACAAATAAAAAAAAGTTTAATCAATAAATAAAATCAATTTAAATATAAAACTAATCTAAAATAAATTTAAAAATAAATCTCCATTCCTTCAATTCCAGAATCCAATTGCGATCGAATTTGTTGGTTGGGGTTTCCAAAAGAGAAAACGAAGAAGCAGCAAGCAAATGACATCATTTGAGATTTGGGACAGAAATATGGTTGGTATCCATCACGATGAAATCAACAAAATGAAGGACCAAACGTCAATGTCATACAATGAGAAAAGCGACGGTGGTGTATAACCGATTGAAAGAGATTTTGAGTTCAAATTTCATGAACGATATTAAGTAAAACATATACTGGAAAAATAATATTGAAAATCATAACGCAACCGTGGAGTTGAATACTTGTGTTAGTACAGTAAAAGACCTGTATGTTATTGCCACAGGTTCACCATTTAGTTCTCCTACTGCTTTCTATGGGTGCTTTTCACTTGGACGCCTTCCTGAAGAAGCACTTCAGATATCAACACTGTAATCTACCGAACCCTAAGGACCGAGGTAGGTTGCATAATTTACTCTAGGTAACGATTTCCGAAGAACGAAGAGCAGCAAGGCACAATGGCCTAACAACAATCAACAAAATTCAAGAAATATTTTGAATTATAAATATATGAACATAGTTCCATTTGATCTGTACGACATGGAAGTTGCCACTTTATACCAACCTTTGGTTCATGTGCCTTTTTACATATGACAGAAAAACATCATTCAAGTGCAGGGCGCCATTTGATCTGTACGACATGGAAGTTGCCACTTTATACCAACCTTTGGTTCATGTGCCTTTTTACATATGACAGAAAAACATCATTCAAGTGCAGGGCGCTTTCTGGGGTTGGACCTTCCATTGCCAAAACAACTTGAATGTTTCATCTCTCAAAAAAGAATTGATAGAAGAAATGCCTTCTTTTCTTTCCTTGTTTTCGATGCAGATACGCCCTTAAGTTCACCCTTTCAGCGAATACTTCTTCCCCGTGAATGCTTGGAACTTTGGCTCTTCTGCCTTCTGAGGTGTATCTTCTGCCTTCTTAGATGGCTCTGGCTTGCCGTTCTTTGGGGCAACCTGGGATTACAAGTACAGATAGAACAGATAAGCATGGTGTCGTTCTTATTTCGTTTAAATCACAAACAATGAGGGACGTACTTTTGGGGTTTCTTTCATGGGTAGGTCGCCATTTGAACCGAACACAAGCTTTCCAGATTTACGTGCGGCACAAGTTGATGACTTAGAATCCTTGGTTCCATTTTCACTCTCCTGTTGGTGCTGCTTCAGTATGGGAGCGGAAACTGGTGCAACTGATTCTGTCATCGGTTTTCCATCCAGTCGTCTTGCTGAACCAGTGAAGGGATTGAATTTTGGTATCTTTTCAGGTTGTACCTCTTCAGCTGAAAGATACCCATTAAAAACAGAAAATCCACGTCAGTTGATAGAAAGGAATTCTACAGTCTTGTAAGCAGAAGACTAATATGCATTCAAGGCCAATGATTAGAACTTCAATCCATTTATCAAATTATTTATATAAAAAAAAAAAAATCATAAGCACCTTCTTGTGGTCTCTTCTTAGACAAAGTAGGTGGTGCAGGTTTTACCGGTTCCACATAATCAAGCGGAGGGGCGAAATCAACCTCACAGTCCGTCTCAATTATACTGATTGCAGGGGAGGGTTTTGTTTCAACTATGTTAATGTAATACTGCCTATTGTTATAAGGAACCATGATAGTATCACCAGTGGTTAAGCAAGAGTAGCTCCTCAATGTAGTTTCCAAACTGCGACAGCAAGAGAAGTTAGGATTAAAAATAATTTTACAGTCATCTCAAACTGCAATCCAACTACCCAAATGGAAATATCAAAGTGATTAACTAACATGGCTTTGGGGTTTGAGATATCAAGGAAGTCCGTAGTGTGAGGCTGCAACTTCACATATGTTCCCTTTACTAGGCTTTTGTTTTTTACTTGACATATGTCTCCCTCTTGAAGGAGCATGTTCTGCATCATCTACAAAGGAACAAAAAAATATAAATGAGTTAGAAGCATGACCGTATCTGGAATGTTGCTGCTACAACTTGCGAGGGAAAGATGTGTACCCAGTATGGTAAATATATTAGACCCTCATCAGCAACAAATTCCAAAACCCCACAATGAGTAACTCGTCCAACAGTAGGATTGTTAAGTTCAAACAACATAGGGTAGTCGATCTGCAAAGATGCTGGAAAAGACAAGTTCTCATTTAGTTGACATCATCATATATCAAGACAGGGTTAGATAAATTGAAATTCAATTCGCAACAGCAGGACAAATAAGAGACAGAATGATCAATTACCGAGGCGGTCAAGAGCTGAGGGAGGCATTATAACTGGAGGGGCAAATATAAAAAAAAGTAAAATTAGACAAGCATTCAGTACTACCATGTTCTATCGAAAAGAAAGGATCGCACGGATCGTATAAACAAACTAGTCAAGCAGATAAACATACTTTTATCACCCTTCTCCAGATGTGGCTGCAAAGACCGAGATTAAAGAGGAATCAGTACAAACAGTTAGGAAGCTGAACGAATAAATTCAATTATGACTAATACATCACTCTGACTAATCACAAAACTCAAATACTGGAAGATGTATTCCCACTCCAGCATAGGTCCCAATGATAGATTTCAGAGTGTTGCCCTCATTTATGGAGCACACTTCATTAGTGAAATTTAACCTTCGGGTTTCAGAATTCAAACCTTCTCAATAAACGATACAGGGTAACAACGGTAACTTTGCTCAAACGCTGAAGTACGAAAGTCTTCATAAGCCTGTTACATAAAAATAATCAGATCATTTAACAAAATTCTTCAGTCAAAGTAACTCCAAACATTTAGATCATGGATAAAATGTGAAACAGAAGCATCTAAGCTCATCAACTGAGACCCGAAACCGTTCAAATCTAAAAACTCCTACTTTTGGTCAAATCTAAAACCTTCTTCATCCTACAAACATGCATCAACATCACTATTCAAGGTTGCTATAATCAACAGAAACAGAAACTAAACTACCATCACAATCAAGTCAACAACTTTATTCTCATATTCCAATTTTAGAAAGCACAAACTATAAGGAACAGAACAATGGGTCATTCAACTTACCATATTCACTGGGTCCAACAAGCTGCCACTGGCCAAAATATTACTGATATCCTGCCAAATAAGCAAAAACAGTGAGAAAAGAACCCAATTCTCCATTCGAATAAAAAAAAATTCAGAATACCCACAAAACAGACAGATTTCAGATATACAGTTATAAACAAAGATACCCATTTCTGTTCACAGAAAAAGGGCACAAGGAGAAGAAGAAGAAGAAGAAGAAGAAGATACCCACTATTTGATTTCAAGCAAAATGATTGAAAAAAGAATACCCAGAAGAGATTAGAAACAAGTTGCTGAATTGTTAATGGTGTTAAAACAGAAAGTGTGAATTTTGATTGGCACCTTTGAGATCGTAATGGATGATGGATAGGAAGTGCTGGGTTTCTTTCTTGCTAGCTGGGTCACAGCAGAGAGTGATTTATGTGAGATGGGTGCGCTCCGAGTTTTTATAGGTTTAAACTTCAGGGTCTTTTATTTGGAATCAAAGCTCAAAACTTAAACGACTCGTTTATTTGAATTATATTTTTGTAAATTATATAATGTATTTATTGATGATTAAATTATTGTTTAAGGTTAAATTACCGTGTTTATTTTTTATTTATGACACAACACATGGTTGTAAATAAAGTTTAAAAAAGTTGATTTACCTAATATTACTCTTTGAGTTGTGGCTCGTGGAATATGACAAGTATCTTTTATTTTTATTTTTTTCTTTTTAAGGGGTGGAATGCTCTAAAAGTTAGGGTAATTTTTTTTTTCAACTCACCATGTCTCGGATTCAAAAATCTTATCTCATCTTTAATGTATAATAGCTTGTGTTAAAAAAAAAAAATCTTCTGTTTTAGTTTAGTGGCCGAGAAATTTCTAGAGATGGTATCCAAAGCTTTCAAAAGCAAATTCATGTGACCATATAGGAAGCGAAACTATTAGAAACTGTCTCTTTAGATCCTTTTTCGATATCACTCGGAAAAGTGATAATGTACTTACAGTATGGATGATGAATGAATACGGAACTAATGATTCTTTGACTAAGCTCATACAAATTCCTTCAGATTGCTCACCTTTTAATCGATCTCTATCTTGTCCTGCATCAACATGAACTACAATTCTCTTGCAAATTTATCCTATTAAATAGAAGTTCAAAAGTTTAAGGGACCAACTGGAGACAAAAAAATTTAGAGATGAAAGGATTGCAACCTCAAAAACCTAGGTGCAAATTTGGAGTTAACGTGGACTTGGTGACCTAGTTGGCCCAAGCCCTGGCCCAAAAGAAGCCCATCACCAGAGAGGGTCAAATTTGTCTTTTCGTTCGGTAATCCCCATTCGTCCCCAAAAGAAACCTTTCGTCCTCCTCATCGTCTTCTCCTCCCGCAGTTGCAGAAGAAATAAAGGAAAGCTTTTTCATTCACGGCGGAGCCTCCACAGAGAAATTCCACTTAAAGTTAAGGACTTCAATTCTCAATTGGATTCCAGAGTGAAAACCCAGAAAGCTAATATGGCGAAGCGAGAGCTTTCCAGCACTCTCAGGAACTTAAAGGTAAAAAGAAACGGAGAAATTTCAATTTTTTGGGGCTTTTCGATTAATTTTCAGTGTTAATTTCTGATTAAATTATTATTTTTGATAAAACCACTTACAATCTGATCTGGGTTTTGCTTAAATTCTTCTTGGGGTTTTTTAATTTTGAGTTTTATAATTATCTGGTCCACCTGTAATTAGATTTTCAGATTAATTTAACGTAATGGGGTTAATTTTTCTTAATTACTGTAGTTTATGCAAAGAGCAACTCAGAGAGAGGTGAAGAAAGAGGAAGATGTCAAACCAGCTGTGGATTTTGCTTTCCCTTCCCGCCAAATAAGAAAGTGGTAGATTTTCCATCTCTTTATTTCTTGTTCTAATTTTTATCTAAAGTATTTGAACTGTTTCGCCTTTTGGATTAAGTTGCTGAAAAGAATATATTTGAAGGTTTAGTGTGGATCGTCGCTTCGTAATCGTTTGTTGCATGATAGTTTTCGAAGGGAAAGATTTTTTTGTGACCTAAAGCAGGTGGAGTATCTGAGGAATTTAAGAAATTGTGGATTTATTGGTATCGAAAAATTGGCTATAGGTTGTGAATGATGATTCCTAGGAGAACCAGTTTGTAGAACCTAACTATAAGCTATAACTTCCAAGAGAGAGTTTTACTTAATTGGTATTAATAAGGTTTTAACCCTTTTTGGGATCCCTTAGTATGCAACGGCATTAATGTCTCAACGTGGATGCCCTAAGGCCTCAATTAAGATAACTCCGTGCATTGAACGAGAGATGATTGCGACTGCCTGCCATAGTTATTCATTAGTTACATTACTCCACCTCCTTTTGTTCAAATTTTACTTGCTTCATGTGGACGGCTGGGCAGCGTGGTCATAGTGGAAGGTGACCCTCAACCTGAAGCAGTTAGAGGGCGGATGTCGTTTCAAAGTTTCAATCCAGCGATTGATGTGAGTATAAGTTTCATGGACCTTAAGATTTCTAGTGGCTATTGACATCTTGTGTACTTCTTGATTGGCTTTATTTCACCTCACATAAAAGTGTTTCCATGATAGAAACTGAATCAAGTACCGGAAAACCCTGGTCAGCCTGCTGCCGCTGCCACATCTTCTAGCATCCATAGTGAAAAAGTGTCATTTAGGTGGGTGATTTGACATTTCAATACTTAATTTTTGTTCTTTTGTCTCTTTAAATGAAAATTCTGTTGGATGACTAAGAAATATATGTTGGCAAACATTGGTTCCGAAATTTTGCTTCTGCTCTCCTATCTTTTTTCTCCTATTTGCATTTCAACAGAGAAAATGGATCCTCGATGGATGAAGCAGGGTGCTCAAATACTGACAAGTCGAACGGTGAGCCTAATGGAGACCATAAAAGAAAACAGTCCGAAGAAGTTTCTGGGAAACAACATCCGAACAAGTCGCCCAAACTTAATCAAGTTGGTCAGCAGTCATCACCAAATACAAGTAAGGGCTCCTTCAGGAAACCAAAGGGTGAAAACCTGAACTGGAATGTTCTCAGACCATCAAAGGGTCAAAACAAAAGAGGCTAAGCATAACTAGGTGATTCACTTATAGTTGCGTGTACTTTTACTTTTTAATTGCTTTCAAGCCCTATCATTTAAATGTGTAATCTTGTCAAATATTTAATGCTAGCTTCTCATAATAGCCATTCAAATTTGTTAGATTTTATGGTGAACTGGTTTCTCTCTTTTCCGCACACAAATTTATATTATACTCGGGAGTTTTAAGTACAATAAAGAAGTTCATGCTCCAATCTATGGTTTATAACATTGCGTTTTTGTTAGTTCTTGTTTGTGGTTCAACAACTCCGCCTATGTCTTACATGGCCGGTCCCAAGCCCGGATAAAGGAGGAGGGGGAGGGCGTCAGGTAGTCGACAGCCGGCACTCCATGATCACGTCGAATCCTTATGAAAATGAATCCAGAACAAAATCGCGCTAAAGCTAGGGCGTCACCCGTAAGTGGCGCGCTGTGTGGCCTGAGCACAGTGATAAGTGAGCAAGGGTCGCTGTATCTCCATCGGCACCCGGATGCAGTGTTAAATGAGCAAGGGGGCCATAGAAACTTCTTTTCGAACGACTCCACTCAAAGTTGTTTGGGAGCATATGCTCCTATCAACTTTACCCGGGACACACAAAAGAAGTACTTTGATCCTATTAGACGGGGGAGGGTGAAGAAGCTAGGACAGAAGGGTAGAGTTCAAGAGAGCAAAATGCGTTTAGGAACGTGGAATATAGGAACCTTAACGGGAAAATCTATGGAAGTAGTGGAAGTTATGGTGAGGAGAAGGATAAATATTATGTGCCTACAAGAAACTAAGTGGGTTGGTAGTAAGGCAAAGGATCTAGAAAACTCAGGGTTTAAACTTTGGTATTCGGGCACAAATAGAACGAGAAACGGTGTTGGCATCATCGTGGACAAGACCTTGGTACAAGATGTTGTAGATGTCAAGAGGGTAGGAGATAGAATCATGACAATCAAGATTGTAATTGGACAAGAACTTATCAATGTGATTAGTGCGTACGCACCTCAAGTAGGGTTGGATACGAGTTCGAAGGAGAAATTTTGGGAAGATCTTGGAGACTTGGTGCAAGGAATTGCTCAGACGGAGAAGTTATTTAAATGTGAATCTGACCAAGAAAGGTAAAAGAATAGCAAAGAAACAGCACTAACAAAAGTTTAGACACATAAATTTTGAAGGTCTAGCTACCATATTATTACCCACAACTGTAAAGGAACAGTACCACTGCTGGATAATTGGAAAGTCCCTGTGTGTCAACCTCTGTGCTTCGTGGCAAGGTAGACTAGCAAACATGCCCAACCTTTACTCACATTCGAGAAAACACTCCCAATAAGATTGCTTGCTCCAAAATCGAAGAGGCACCGTCCTCCGAATCTCGAGAGCCAGACTCCCAACATGACTACTTTCTCAAAATCGAAGAGAGGGTAAAAGAACAGTACCATTGCTGGATAATTGGAAAGTCCCTGTGTGTCAACCTTTGTGCTTCGTGGCAAGGTAGACTAGCAAACATGCCCAACCTATACTCACATTCGAGACAACACTCCCAACAAGATTGCTTGCTCCAAAATCGAAGAGGCACCACCCTCCGAATCTCGAGAGCCAGACTCCCAACATGATTACTTCCTCAAAAATCGAAGAGACACTGCTCTCCGAATCTCGAGAGTCATACCCCCAGCATGATTGCTTTCTCAAAAATCGAAGAGGCATCGTTCTCCGAATCTCGAGAGCCAGATACCACAGACCACTTTTTCAAAGTGCTCTGACAGAGTTAAAACATGTGAAACTGGCAGCTCCCACTACCGTGCTATGACCAAGCAGGGTAAAGGAATAGCATTACTACTTGTTGTTAGGGAGACTCCTATATATGTCGACCTCCATCCCCAACGGACAGGCAGACCTGCAAAAATGCTCAACCCTTCATCATATTTGAGAGGGCACTCCCAACGAAGCCTTTCGAAATATTCAGCTTTCTTTCCCCCCGATAATACCTCTGCAAACAAGCTATACTAGAGCAAGAATATCTCATATCATCAGGGTTAAAAGCAAGAGTATCCCATATCATGCTTTTTTCCTGTCTTTTCTTTTGGCCTTGTTTTTACCTGCAAGACAAAGAGAAAGAGAGCAATCAGTCAGCACTTGGAATCAAGCTTCCAGCCAGGAACTGACTGCCTGGAACCCCTTACCTGATTACTTACCTGGCATTGCTCTCGAGTACTCATCTTCAACATCTTATGTTTCCAGGGAAGATTCCGCATCTGCTTGAGGAACAGATAGGGCAAGTGCGAAGGATACAAGGAAGCATGTGGAGACAAGCGTAACAGCACACGTGCCGATACATTCATTACTCTGTCAAAAGCAAAAGTATCCCATATCAGCAGGGTGGAACGTACTCTAGATTTGATGGACTTGTTTTGACCCTCAAAATTCTTCAGTCGGCCTTATACTCTGGAGGAAACCAGAAAACCCTCCAGCTCAGTTCAAGAATAAGCCTGTGGAAAGTTACTTCTTCAAAAGCAAAAGTATCTCATATCATCTCTTCTCATTTTTCTTCTCTTTTATCCTTCATGCTGCTGCAAGATGGGGAGAAGGTGAACAATCAGTCGGAGCTCTGATTGCTTACCTTGTCTGTCACCTCTTTCAGCAGACCCCCTAGCTCGGCGACTTGGGGGACTCCTACTACATGGTTTGTATCGCGCTTGACCAAGCCTGAAACTACAAGTAAGCTTCAAGTGAAATTGATACATTACCTTGTGCATCTCCACCAGTTAAAAGATACCACCCCTGGATGGAGGAAGAGTACTTCCAGAGAAGATGTCACATCTACCTATGAGACAGATAAGGCAAGTCAAGACGACACCACACTCCGATATACTTAGAAGTTTCGTGATTACGAGATCATTCTCCCACAATATTTCCTAATGTCATTTGTACTAAATCATTCACTTGTACTCACTAAATGAGAGCTTGAACCTATGTACTTGTGTAAACCCTTCACAATTAATGAGAACTCTTCTATTCCGTGGACGTAGCCAATCTGGGTGAACCACGTACATCTTGTGTTTGCTTTCCTATCTCTATCCATTTATATACTTATCCACACTAATGACCGGAGCAATCTAGCGAAGATCACAAAAAAGCGATCGTTTTCGCTACCTAGGATCTATCTTGCAAGAGAACGGAGAATTAGATGGAGATCTCAACCATAGAATACGAGCTGGATGGAAAGAGTGCATCCGGCGTGTTGTGTGACCGTCGTAGGCCACTGAAGCTCAAGGGAAAATTTTATAGGACGGCAATAAGGCTAGCGATGTTGTATGGCACAGAATGTTGGGTGGTGAAGCATCAACACGTACACAAAATGGGTGTAGCGGAGATGAGGATGCTTCGTGGGATGTGTGGGCACACGAGAAAGGATAAGATTGGGAATGAGGATATCCGAGGTAAAGTAGGAGTAGCCGAAATTGTAGGAAAGATGAGAGAAAATCGGCTCCGGTGATTTTGAACATGTGCAAAGAAGGCCGACTGACGCTCCGGTTCGAAGATGTGACTACGGGACAGAGGTTCAGGGCCGAAGGGGTAGAGGAAGACCTAGGACAACTTTGGAAGAGACTCTAAGAAAAGACTTAGAGTACTTGGATCTAACGGAGGACATGACACAAAACCGAGCGCAATGGCGTTCTAGGATTCATATAGCCGACCCCACTTAGTGGGAAAAGGCTTTGTTGTTGTTGTTGTTGTTGTTGTTTGTGGTTCAACGATTAGGTTACCGGACTTACGAGAGAATTACTTTGGAATCTTGATAATTGTGGTGAAGATACTATGGCTCCTAGGTTTATCAGCAGGTTTAGCACCCAGGAGAATACATATGGTCGACGGCCTTGATATCGGCTTTCAGGGCTCTCCGATGCATTCATCGACCGGTCTTCAAACATAACGATTAACTTTCATTAAACTGAACTATTAGTACACCCAAATCAGATTTTAAGAGAGTACATAACTACAAATCATGCTCACAAGTTCTAAGCAGTACTAGCTAATCTAAGTCCCGTAAAATTACTCTCCTGAAGTCCGAAAACCAACAGAATTGAGCCAGACTGCTAGCAAACACTTTTCGGGCATTGCCTTGGTGCCTTTTGTAACTCTCAAACAGGTTTCCAGTACGAAATAGCATGGAATATCCTGCCTTTCCATCCCTGCAACACCCACATTCCATCTTCGTCGACGGAGAAATCCTTATGGTAATCTCTCTTCACCATACTCCTGATTTCCTTCAAGATCTCCTGGTCTGATGGTACCTGCCTGAACCCGGCTCTCTTGTTTCTAATCTGCCACTGCTTGTATGTCTCTGGCCTTTCGACCCTTCTTGGACCCTCACATGCTATCACATTGATAACATCTCTACCAAAGACTTCTTGCTCGTAGAGCAACCTCTGTGGATCTTCTCGTGGCACAGTCGCCTCGAACATGTTGAACAGGGAAGAAAAATGGAAGAGTGCTTCTCGGAAGCGTATGTCAAAGAAGGGTGCATTGTAGGATCCATTGACAATCCCATGGATGAACAAATCCGGGCTAATTCTTCGGATCAGCTTCAAAACTGTATCCCTAGGACAGTCTGTCACTGTATCATCTCGTAGATTTTTTAGCCGGTACAAGCAGTTGACTACAGTGAACTCATCTCTGTCGATTTTGATATCCTCAGACCGAATTGTTTCCCAATTCGTTGCTATGACGTTGTACTTGAAGGGGACGTTAAACCTCTTGCAGTAATTTGCTAGGCGCCGCCCTGTCTGTTCAACCCTTTCTGAAGGCCGGAAACCTGGCTGGGGAAACTCTACTCCGGTTATGCGAAGCATGGGAGGTCCGCCGTGTCTCTTGGAGAGGTCTTGGATGAGGGAAGGCCATTGGTAGCCATAGAGGACACCGAAATCAATGATGTGAAGCCTTGTCCCCTTCTCTGCTTGTTTCAGAATCGTTTGGTTAGCATAGATATTTGACATCTTGTGGAAAGGGCATGCCGTGATGTAAGTCTGGTAAGCTTTTAAGATATCAGCAGCTGACATCTCACTGCTGGGAAGAGAAGCGTACGAGGGAACATCAGCACCCAAGCGCAGTTCGAGGCCATTTGCCACGTAATGAGCTAATCTCTGCGTGCCA